GGTCCCCGGACAAGCACCGACTGGACCCCTCCCTCCTCCGCAGTGGCAGGGCCTAGGCTCCCAGAGATGAAGGACTTAGTCCCTCCTTCGGATGGAGCGCAGCCCCGAGGGCCCAGGCTGGGGAAGCTGAGCTGAGACGGCACGAAGGCCCGAAGGCGGCAGAGTCCGCGCAACAGCCGGCACAAAGGTGCAGGATGTGAACGGTGCGCCGCGTCGAGGAAGCTGCTGAGACCAGCGAAGGTGGAGGAGGAATGAGAGGTGAGAGCGGGGTCTCGGCCTCTGGAGCTTTGAAAACATTACCAGTGGGAAGGACAAACTAGAAACTAAAGAGATCGGCTACCTACAGGGGACGAGTATGAACGAGGTAATAAGATGAGGGAATAACCGGACGGGAGAGCGGGAAGGAGGCGGCAGTGACACGACTCTGGGCGTGTCCTCCTGTGCAGCTCTGGCTCTTAGACCCATAGGAACGCTCCACACACCTTCACAGAGCCCAGATCCAAACAAATAATGAAAACCAGCGAGGGTGTGGGGGAGCCCAGGATGGAATGCAAACAGTAACAGTGAACTTAACTCTATCCCAAATCATTGATGTAACCACATTGATGGGAGTGGAGAAAAAAAATAAAACAATTAACCTAAGTAACTAGAACACAAATATTATAATCTAGTTAGCACATGTGTATCTCGCAGGGACGGAAGTTAGCAATTCTGACATTACTTTATGGATACACTAAGATTGAACAAATCAGTAAACGTATTGTAGATACTGAGAGTGGAGTTAATCACTGTAGGAAGAAGTCACAAATGAGGACGGGGAGGCTGAATGAACCTGGCGCTGAACTGGAATCAGAAGTATCATATCAATTCGTGTTTGGATGTGTAGATAGACAGACACGGTGATACAGATGTACGTACATGTGTGGGTTAGTGTAAGTGCACATATTTCCGAGCTCTGTCCACTGAGAGAGCCCAGAAGCACTGAGAACCCAGCAGTGATGAGTGCCCAGGTCTTAGTTTCTAAGCATCATTCTCCAATAAAAGGAGCCAGGGCTTCTTGGAGAAATGGTTGACTCCAAGGCTGAGGCAGAGAAGGTACAAGATGAACCTGGAATGTCTTGTAATGCCAGAAAGTAAGGAAGTGCTTTAACAGGATGGGGGCGAGGCGAAAGGACACAGGAGTCAGTCTGAAGGAGCTCCCACTGTCCAAGTGGGAACAATTTGAGTGACAAAATAAACAACGATAGTGTTGAATTATAACCCATATAATAAAATAGATACCCATTATTCCATCCTGATATCAATAAAAATGAATGAACGAATGAGGGAGAAAGGCAGCCCATGGAAATTATCATTAAGAAGCCAGCGTGGTGGTAACTGTTGTAGACAGGGTCCACCGATGGATGCTAAAATGAGTGGGAACAAAGTTGAGTACAAATAGGATGTTTGCATAATCTCAAATGATCTCCTCTAAGATATTTATTAATTACCAAGGGAAAAGTAGTAATTTTTCAGTGGAGAAACTCAGCAGACAGCACTTTAACCAAGTGATCAAGAGAAACATGACCAGTAATAAGTCTCATCGACATCTCGTCGTACCACTTGATAAAATGCACCAAGAATGACACATCCTTCCTGTGGAATTCTTGCAAAAACGCATAACCTTGTCTTAATCATGAGAAAACATTAGACAAACCCACACTGAAGGAGCAGCTGTCCGAAGCTGTCAAGGTCGTGGACGATAAGGAGAGACTGCAGAAGGACGGTCACAGAGTAGAACAGACTAAGGAGACTCGAGGACCAAATGCAACGTGACGTCCTGGAACAGTGAAGGGCATCAGTCAGCAGTGCTGTGCCGACATTAATTTCCTGTTTATGAAAATTTTACACAGTAGATGCTAACATTGGGGGAATCTGGTAAAATACATACAGGAATGCTCTGTACTACTTTTACAAATTTTTCTTGTCTAAAGTTATTTCAAAATAAAAAAAGTTTAACAATTACTGATGCCTGTGAGTTAAGAGGAACTCCTATTTTTGAGCTACTGTTTAACCCCAGGTTTCCATATTTCCTAATTTAATCCTCACAGCCCCCCACGAAGTAAGTACTGAAGCCTGTCTTCGCTCATGGGAAAATGGAAGCTCAGACACACTAAGGAAGCCACCAGTAAGAGAAGGGCTGGGATCCAAGTGCCCCTAGTCAGGCTCCAAAGCCAGGCTCTTCCCTCTTCCCTCCAGAGACGGAAGAGGCTGCAGAAGAAAACCAGAGGCAAAGCATTGAGACATGAGGGCCTGGGGTCCCTGGTAAGGAATTTGGACTTTATCCCAGAGGCCAGTGGTTCTCAGCCCTGGATGCACAAAGGTCCCTGCGGGGAGCTTTAAAAGCCGTTATTCCCTGTGTCCTGCCCAGAGTCTGATTCGGCAGCTCTGAGCTGGGGCTCAGGCATCGTGTGAAGCTCTGCAAGTGATTCTGATGTGCAGCCAGGCTGAGGGCTCTCCCTCTCCGATGAGCAGCGGACTCATTCCCCAGAATGCAGCCTGGCCGCGTCCATGCCACGCCCGAGCCTTGGAGGATGACCCTGCCCTGCGGGAGCCTGGCTGGGGTGGTGGACCGGGCAGGTGCGTCCCAGGGCCTCTTCTCCCCACCTGTCCCCACAGCTCCAGCCCGGGGCACCCACCTTTGGCAAAATAAAGTGTCTGACCCTGAGATGAGTCTGACTAGCCTGTCCTCAAAAATGGCCTTGGTGCCAGACAGCAGGAACTGTGACTGGAACATTCTGGCGCCGATTCCTCTCACAGTCTCCTCACTAGTCTTCCTTTTTGCACCCCTGCTTCCTGTGGTTGGGTCTCCCCCAACACAGCCCGTGAAGTCTGTTTAGAACAGAAGACGGCTCATGTCACTCCCCTATTCAAAGCTCTCCAAGGACTCCCCACCTCTCTTAGCATGAAATCCTGGATCTAAAGTCCCTGTCCTGGCCACAGGACCCCACGTGACCTGGCTCCTGGCCAGCCCCACGTTCATTCCCCGCCCTCCTCCCAGCTCTCTCTGTTTGGCTGCCCAGTCTGCGCACTGATCCTCCAGCGGGCCGGGCACACCGCCTTGGAGGGCCTCCACACGTGCTGGCTCCACCTGGAAAGCTCTGTCCCCAAGTGACTGTCCGGCTTGCTCCATCCTTAAGCCAGGTCTCTGCTCAATGACACTCCTCTGAGGGGCCTGGGTGGCCACCCCCTCTGCCCTTGCCAACCTTTAGTCTTCCTTTCTAGCACTTCTTATGACCTGATGCCATACGACACATGTAAATCTGGGTTTTTTTGACAGTGTGTCCCCTTTGCCACGGGGCAGGCTTGGGCTGGTGTCCCTTCCTGGCCCAGGTCTGTGCCTGGCTCCTGGATGGCACTCAGCAATGCTTCTGAATTTTCTGTGTACATCGCGGTGTGCATATCTGTGTGCATCTGCACGTATGCACATGTGCCATCGCCCAGGCCTGCCTCAGCACGGAGAGGCCACCTCCCTTCTGCACTGGGGAACCACTGCCTGGCCAGCAACGGTGGTGTGAGGCTCTGTCCCCACAGCAGATGGGCACCCATCAGAGGCCAGCCTGCAGAGACACCCTGTGCTGGGGCAGCCAAAGGCCAGGGCTCCTTAGTGGTCATCAGGACCAGTCTCTCGGGCCGAGTAAAATCCCCTGGGACGCTTGGACTCATCCTAGGAAGGAAAAGGAAGCCCTGGAAGGCAAGTGTGCCATTTGTGTTATGGGTGGGATGGGAGACATAAGTTGTGAACTTTGAGTAGAAAAAGTAACGTGACTTCATTTTATCCCTTAAACTGATGAGGTGGGACCAATTGGTAGCTTAAAAAGGGAAGAAGAGGAGGAGGAGGAGGAGGCAGAGGCAGAGAAAGAAAACACAGTCTGTTGTGGGGAAGTCTGGCATGAAGGCTCTGGTGTCCTCAGGCAGTGGCAGGCAGTGTCCCTGTGTCCGACGGCCCCTCTTGCCAGCCAACTGATCGGCTCTGAGTTCTGGGTGCCCGAAGAATCCCTCCCTGATTCTGCCCAGGCCTGGAAGTCACCCAGGCCTCCTGGGTCTTCACCAGCTCGGGGAATCACCCGGCTCTGGGACCCTGGGGTTCCTCCCCTGGGGAGCAGGGGTAATGCGGCCTCTGCCCAGGGAGGGTGTGAGGACAGAAGGAGCCGCACCCCATTATGGGGCAGCAGAGGGCCTGGAACATGGTGGACCCAGGGGACTCTGACTGTCCTTCTTCTAGTTGGTTGGAAAGCCTGTCTCAAACCTCACACAAAACTCCCTGTTAACGACCGCCTCTGTCTCATTCAGTCATTCAACTGTGCAGCATACGATGTCTCTCAAAGGACTGCTGGGTTTGAGTAGTGTTGCTAGATGCAGAAAATAAAAATATACAATGCCCAGTTAAATATGAGCTTCAGATAAACAATGAATTATTTTTTTGGTGTAATATGTTCTGAATAGGACATACACTATTGGGACAGGCAGACACTAAAACATTAATGGTTGTCTATCTGAACTCCAATTTTAACCGAGCATTGTTTTGGCAACCCTAGCTTTGAGGAGTGGCCACTGGGCTCTGCCTCCCGCTGATGGTGTCCCCTCCCAAGGGCATTTCCCAGAGGAACTTGGTACAAACATCGACATCATACTAAGGACAATTTTATTTTTAAAAACAAAAATTATAATTTAAAAATATATACATTATCTACATTTCAATTTTCTTCTCTAGAAACTTTAATTCCAAAAATGGCGGGAACATAAATGGACACAGAGGACCGCAGTGACTTGCAGAAAGCGCAGACAGGACCTGACCCTGTGGTGACTTTTACTCTAGAATCAGGTGTGGGTTGAGCGCCTTGGCCCGCAGATTCTTCATCTCCTCCAGCACCTTTTCTCCGGGCTTCTCCATCGGCGGTGCTTGGTCTCTCACCTCTCTAAACACAAAAGCCAACAGGGACATGTCAGGGCGTGTCATGGGACACTCAGGTCACCCACCAACGCCCTGCTGCAGGGCCAGCACTGCCAGGGGCACCTCAGGGAAGGCTGGAGGAGTTGTTTACATAGATATATATAAAGAAGGTTTTCACTGTATTTAGCGATAATTTAGTTACCAGTGGAAACACTTCACTAGTAAGTGATTCAAACTGGCTTCCACACTCAGCCGCACCAGTGTTCTCAGCGCGGCCCAGTTACCCAGCTTTCAGTCTCCATGTCCAGAGGTACGAATGGTGGCAATTCCCGTATCCCAGGATTGTTGCGAAGATGAAACGAGAAGTTATTCATAGACCTCCTAGCGTGATGTCCTCTCAATGCTCAGGCAGCATCAGCTGACTCTTCACATTTGTGAATAAAGCAGACACACAGTATCTCTGACTCTGACAACGGCTCCAGAAGGGTGGGAATCAAGAGGGAGGTTATGCACCTGGATCAAGCAGTGGTTGACATGGAGCCCAAACCTTTGCCTGGTGTGCAAGGGGTTGCTGGGTAGAACTTTCCAAATAAATGGGAGGAAACGAGGAGAGCATTTGATGGGAAGGACAGATGTCTAAAGACGGGGAGCACAGCTACCTGATCTGCCTGCATGGGAGACACAATGTAAGATCAAGGGATCAATGGCTTCTGAACCATTCTCTGAAGAAGGTGACATGGTAAGTTCTGGCAAGTGCGTGGCAGTTTTGAAAAAGCAGAAATATCTGAAAACAGAATTAAAATGTTCCCTAATGCATATAATTTAAAAAATTAATTGGTACTATTTTATGGAATCAATTTTAAAATATACATGGGATCACTTCTTCCTCTAAAGACATTAGTGATTCAGTGATACTGTGATGTTCTGAGGAGTGTGGATGGCATGTCAGCAGCTAACGTCACTCTCACAGTTTCTTGGACGTTTGACAGCAGGAGTCCCCTAAGTGGGTCTGGAGGGTGCTGAGGCCACCACCAGGGCAGCAGAGAATCTCAGGTTAATTATCGCCATCGAGGGAGAGCAGATGATTCTTTGCATCCATGGAAATAAATATTTTCCAAAAACCAGATGGACAGCAGCCTTCATGGGAGAAATTAAACACTGATGCGTCCTTTTTGCCCTGTCCCTGTCTAGCCAAGCTCTGGTTGTGTGTGCGTCTGTGAGCAAGGACTCCGTCAGCTTCTGGCTGAGGCTGAAGGAGGTGAGGAGAAGGAACCCGTAAGGACAGAGGACAAAATCTAGTATCAGATGATGCTTGATATGAGCTGGAGAGAATTTCAGAACCAAATCACTTCTGAAAATCATCTGTGGTTGAAAATCATCGACTGGTTGGAATACTAGTTAGCCAATGAAATGATGATTATGTTGACCATTTTGACATAGGAAAATTGTACATAAAATAATTTAAACTGAAAAACAGGTGAATTCAACATGCCATAGATATGATTCCTGAAAATGTGTATTTTGAAACAATTGGAAGCTAATTTGGTGTGCAGAAAATGTTTAGAGTTCATTGTTAGTATTTTTGTAAAGTAGCTGAAATATATTAAAAAAGAAAAATGATAAACCACTTTGGGTGAAAATATGAAGTAATAACTTCTATTTCATTTAATAATAATGTGATAACCAAGTGCCATTCATTATTAGCTCTGTAGTATAAAGGGTGAAAAAGCACGTTAAAGGGCAAGGGAGCAGAGAAGTACTGGATATTACCCCGCTCACAGGCAAGCCCTTCTATGCCCAGGGGGCATTTTTGAGATAGGAAAAAAAAGGCTTTTATTTAAAACTCTTAGTCAACTGTTTGAAATCTGAAATAAGACACAAATCGCATCTGTTTGTGGAGGTGTCAGGTTCTATGTGCTGCGTCTTGTAACATGGTATTTTATCAAAACAGATGCTCACTGAAATTCCACTTAAAATTTTTATTTCCTAAATTTTCTTTCACCAGAAAGTGCCAACCTATTTTCTCACAAGTGCTGGCGGCTGTAGGACTCTGACACCGTCACAAACAGACCGAAGGACCCCACACCCCTCCAAGACACTCCTTTCAGAAAAGGCAGGGCCTCCCAAAGCACCTCAGCCAAGTCAAAGACAAACTCAGAAACTGACAACGCTGATTCTCCTTAATATATGAGGGACTCTTGCAAATAAACAAGAAAAAGCATAGGAAAAATTTTAACATCACTTGTAAACAGAGAATTTAAAAGAGTAAGATGGTCATTTGTTCATCTATCATATTGGTAAAGAAGAAAAAACAATGATAGCATTCTGTGTTGTTCGGGGCATTTGAATGTGGGCAGTCCTGACCTCTGCTGGTGGGAGGTGTGTTGATGGACTTCCTGGATGGCAATGAAGCAGTATATTTTAAAACCTTAAAATGCACATTGATCTAGGATTTACGTTTCTAGGAATTTATTCTAAGGAAACAGTCTGATAAGTTTGCAACGAATTATGGCCCAAGGATGTTGGTTGCAGCACTTTTGGGACGAGCAAAATGCTGAAAAGGGTTTACGTGATCATCAGTAGAGGGTTGGTTAGGTAAATTACGGTCCATCTATCAGTGAATTATAATGATGTTTATCTGCATTTATAAATATATGTTTATGACGTATTGCTAAATAAAAGCGTAGAGGACAAAGCAATACATATAATATCACTGAATTTTGTTCAACTATATATAAATTGAAGAATACATATATATAAATAGATACTTGGAAGACCATACATCAAAATGTACAAGTTATTGTTTCTGAGTGATAGGATTATTGTTTTTATTTTATTCCTTATAGTTTTTCATATTTTCTGATTTTTTAATAATAAAAAAGGCATTTTTTTTAAAAGAAAAGGAATTTTAAAAAGTATACTTGAATTTCAAACTTATAAACCATATGAACTATAGGTGGTTATTTACATTACAACAGTATTCTTCACAACCCGTTTTTTGAAGGAGGGGGAGGATGACGTCTGTTTAGCTGCTTGGCCCCTGATGGAGAGGCGGAGGGAAGAACGAACATTTGCTGAGCAGCTATTTCACATCAAGCAACTGGCTTGATGTCCTCACACTGGCATCTCGTTTCATCCTCACGACCACCCGTGAGAGAGATTTTATTTTCTGCCTGTTACAGTGAGAAACCGAGGCCCCGTTACCGAAGGTAAGTAACGTGGCTGGAGATCTCACGTGTAATAAATGATGGAGCTGGGATTCAGCCCCAGGTCTCCTCTGGCTCCAGAGCCTGGGTTCCTGACACTGAATGAAACTCGTTCAGCTGTTAATAAGAAACAAACACATCTCCGAAATTAAATGAGAAGTCGATGGAAAAATTGGATTCAGTTTTTAAATGTTTACTTGCCAACATTTGAGAGAGCATAACTGTGCGTAAATACACATCTAAATATCTAAAGCATCAGAAATGTGTTTCTTTTGACACGTTTTTAGGTTCAGACAATACGACAGTTCTGTTTGTCACGTAGGACAGATTTTACCCAAGGTCACCTCTTACTGAGGCATAAAAGCATCCACTTACTTCTGCTTCTTGGTGTCCTTGGAGTCCAACAGGGGGAATTCCGCTTCGATCATTTCTGGAGTCAATGTAATTTCTATATTCTGTGCACAGAGCTCACTGAAAAGGAATAAGATGTTTAGCTGGAATGGTTTTTCCCTCCCAGAATAAAACAGAGAAATATTGTCACTGTTTAAAAGTTACGCAATTCTTGTGGCTTTCAAGGTCAGTTCCACCTACGCTGTTGAGTCTATGTTAAGAGAAGCATGAGGCTGTATATTGTTTCCATCAACAAACAGTGGTAGGAATGGTTTTTTTCTTTTCTTTTCTTTTTTCCAGGATGATTAGCCCTGAGCTAACATCTGCTGCCAATCCTCCTTTTTTCACTGAGGAAGACTGGCCCTGAGCTAACATCCTTGCCCATCTTCCTCTACTTTCTATGTGGGATGCCTACCACAGCATGGCGTGCCAAGCAGTGCCACGTCCGCACCCGGGATCCGAACCAGCGAACCCCGGGCCTCCGAAGCGAGCGTGCCACCTAACCGCTGGGCCAAGGGCCCGCCCAGGAATAGTTATTTATAACCAGAGAATAAAAAGCAATTTTTAAAATGGGGTTACAGAATTCATATTCTTTTCCAGTGCACACAGAAGATTTACCAATATTGGCTCTATCTTGGACCATAAAGAAAGCCCGAATGAATTCAAAAGACTGAAATCCTTCAGCGTATGTTCTACGGCCACAACGGAATTCAAACAAAAACCAGCAGTAAAGAAGATAACTAAAAAACCCACAACTGCTTTAAAAATTAAATGATCTATTTCTAGATAATCTATGGATGAAAGAAGAAATGAAAAGGACCCAGGCAATTTTCATCTTCCGGCGGCCTGCTGTCCCCAGAGCAGGGGCACACTTTTCCGCCAAGGGCGTGGCCGTCATCTGGTCTCTCACAACTGCTCAGCTTGGCTGTTGCAGCAGGAGAGGAGTCACAGAGGACACGTAAGCGAACGGTGACGATCAAACCCTGTTTAAGAACAGCCGGCAGGCCAGGTTCGGCCGTCGGCCGTGGTCGCCGGGCCCAGCTGCTCGGTGGCCGGGCTGCAGCGGAGCGGAGCAGGCAGGGAGGGTGCCAGGGCGCCTGCTCGCTGCATCCGGGTCCCGGCCTCAGGACGACGGCTCGGTCTGTCACCCCCTCTCACAAGGGCCTGGCCAAACGGGGACTTCACCGCAAGGGCGGCTGGGAGATCCGGCCTCCAGTCTCAACAAACTGCGTCGCTTCCGAGGCGGCGGCCGGCATTTCGACGGCAGCAGCTCCGCCCCGCTCGATTCAAGAGAAGCGCTTCCGAAGCAGAGGCGCCCAGCGTGGGTTCCAGCAGGAGCCCCGCACGCGGACACACAGCGAGGCGGGCGGGCGGCCTCCGGGCGGGGAAACGCCCGTGCAAACAGTGAAGAGCCGTCCCGGTGCCACACGGCGCGGCAGCCGCTGGACCATCACCGCCCGCTGCTCCGCGGACACTGTCTTCCCGCCGGCGCGTCCTCGCCCTGAGGGGGCGCGGGGTCCTCCCCCTAAGGGGGGCGCGGGGTCCTCCCCCTGATGGGGGGCGCGGGCATTGGGCGCGGGGTCCTTGTCCCTGAGGGGGCGCGTCCTCCCCCTGAGGGGGCGCGGGGTCCTCCCCCTGAGGGGGCGCGGGGTCCTTGTCCCTGAGGGGGCGCGGGCCCTGGGCGCGGGGTCCTTGTCCCTGAGGGGGCGCGGGCGCTGGGCGCGGGATACTCCCCTGAGGTGGTGCGGGCCCTGGGCGCTGGGTCCTTGTCCCTGAGGGGGCGCGGGCCGTGGGCGCGGGGTCCTGTCCCTGAGGGGGCGCGGGCGCTGGGCGCGGGGTCCTTGTCCCTGAGGGGGCGCGGGCCGTGGGCGCAGGGTCCTTGTCCCTGAGGGGCCGCGAGGTCCTGTCCCTGAGGGGGCGCGGGCGCTGGGCGCGGGGTCCTCACTCTGAGGGGGCGCGGGGTCCTTGTCCCTGAGGGGGCGCGGCCCTGGGCGCGGGGTCCTCCCCTGAGAGTGGCGCGGAGGTCATGGCGCGGGCTGAGGCGAGACCGCCGAGGCCCCGCCGGTTTCCCACGAGCGCTCCGTCCGCGTCGCCCCTCTGTGACCGCCCCGCTCCCCTGACTGACAGCCCGAGCTCCCCTGACTGACAGCCCCTGTGCCGGGGGCTACAGTTCCCGCCGCAGACACGAGGACCCGGAGTCACCGCGGTCCGCACCCGAGCGCCGAAGGGACGAGGGCAGCCGGGTTCCGGGCAGCCAGGCGGCTCCCCGGCGGCCCCAGCAGACAGGACTGTCCCTTGAGCCTCACGGAACCGGGCGCGTCCTCCCCCGGGGCGGCCTCGCGGGGAAGCGCCTCAGGCGGCGGCGAGAGGACAGACGCTCGGCCTCCCTCTCAGCCCGGGACTCCGAGCTCTGCCGCGCGAGTGTCGCCAAGGACGGTGCCCGTGGACGTGTCCCACAAACCCGGGTGTGCGCCTCAGATGGTGAGGATCTCACTCACGCACTGTGCGCGTGGAACGACGTGTAAGCGCGCACGGCGACGGCAGGCCCAAGGACGCGCGTCCACCGGCTGTCCGACGTTCACCGTCAAATCAACGCAAGCGCTGCGCTCTGGGGCCGGATTCTCCACGCCCCTACAAGCCCCGCCCACCGCGCAAGCCCCGCCCCCGCCCCCGACCGGGAGACCCCTCGGCCCCTCCAGTGCCCCCTCCGCGCAGCGCAGCCCCGCCCCTGAGACCTGGAGGCCCCTCGGCCCCTTCAGCGCCCCCTCCGCCCCGCCCTCCAGCTCCCAGAGCCGACAGCCCGGCGCGCGCGAGCCCCGCGGCCGCCGACTTTGGGCCCGAACCCAGCGTCCCCTCGGTCGGGCGGCGGGCTCAGGCGCCGGCTCTGCGAGGCCCTCAGCCCCGCGCGCTGCCGGGAAGCGGACCGCGTCCAGCCCGACGGTCGCAGGTACCGTTCGGCGGCTTCCAGTCTGTCCTCCTCGGGCAGGGCGTCCAGCGTGGCGGGCACGTGCGCGGGCAGCAGGGCCACCTCGAAGGGGTCGCAGCTGTGGGAGGACACAGGCGGCCCGGTGAGCGGCTCGTCCGCAGTCCCGGCCCTCACCCGGCCTCCCGACGCGCCGGCTCCGCCCGGGGAGGCCCAGCCCTGGCGCCCTCCGGAGCCGCTCGGCGCCCAGCGGGCGGAGGACGGGGAGCCGCTCAGCTCCGGGCCCGTCGCCGGCGAGGCCTCTCCCGGAGTCTGGGCGGGAGGTTGGGCGCGTGGTGTCTGAAGTTAGGTTACTTCCGGGGGAGTCGTCAGACGGCCCACTTTCTGTGCCTAACCCATTCCCCACGTGTCCTCCTCAGTTCTGTGTGACTTCAGCCTTCCTCCCTACCCCCTTATGTATTGTTTGGTGTTATAAACTCAGAGCTTTCTAGAAAAATTCCTGGCTGTTGAGGACAGTAAAAGAATTCAGATAGGGAGAAAAAATATATTGTCATTTTAACAGTTGGCGGCCGACTTCTGTTCCGAGATGGTGGAACAAGCACTCACTCACTTTTTTTTCTTTTGGTCTCGACTCCTTATAAACCTTTGCAATGATATTAAAGGAATAAAAACTGAACGCACAACAGCGAAGAACAGGAGAAAAGACATAAATGGATGCAAGTTTCCAACAGTCTCCTGGACGCCGGGGAGAGTCGTCTCCTGGAAGAGGAAAGAAGGACGGAGCGCGGCCGCGCGGGAGGGACCGGCCTCCTCGGGCCGGCGGGGCGGCGGACGGGCGGGCGGGGCGGGAACGGACGCCGCGGGGCCCAGCGAAGCCGCCTGCGTGCGCACGTGTCTGCGGGACACGTTTCCTCTGGTTCTTTTCTTGTGCAAATATGCACCTGCTCGCCAGGTATGGAGACTGGCTGAATAAAACTCTGGCACGCGGCGTTTACAGCCATAAAAGAGAGGGCGGGAGGAACCTATGCTCTGATATGGGGTGACTTTCAGGAGAGACTGTAAGTGGAAAAGCAGAGTGCACAAGAGCATACCTAGTGCGCCACTTTTTGTACAAGAAAAGGGAAAAGAAGAAAAATACACGTATTCTGCTTAGCATTACAAAGAGAAACACAGGGAGGATGTTAGAGGACCAAGCTGTGGCGGGACAAGGGGCGGGAGGGAGATGGGGCGGAGTGACACTTCGCTGAGCTGCCTTTCTGTGTAGCTTTGAGCTTGGAAAGCATGTTAATGTTCTACATATTCAAAAAATAAAATCAGTGAGAAAGTGAAGAAAAAATCCCAAACTGAAAGCAAACTGAAACAATATTTCACATGAATTCCATCATCACACCGGAGGGAAAGAGAGAGAAAAAGAAACAAGGAAGGAAGGATGGGTGGAAGGAAGGAAGGAAAGAAGGAAGAGAAGTAATGCAAGTAATTTATAAATACTGTATTTGACTACATATTCAGTCTAGGATGGGATGGGGGTAGGGGAAAGCTGCAAATAAATCTGAACTCTGTTTATTATGCTTGTTTATTAAAGTGGTTATAGGTGAAGGGATTCTGAAACCATTTTAGATGTGCTATAAAATTCAGTAAATGTGTTAGGAGCCAGGGTCCTCCCAGTGGGAGAAGGGGCACAAATATGGAATGGGGGCGAGCAAGCAATAACTATGGACGTTGACTGGAATTATAAGCATTGATGTGAATTCATGGTTTATGAAATATGTACATGTATGTGTAATGTGTGGCCATGTGCACATGTATCTGCACATATGTGTACAGTCAGGTGTCACTTAACGAGGGGATATGTTCTGAGAAATGCATCGTTAACACGATTTCATCATTGTGCAAACGTCAGGGTGTACTTACACAAACCTGGATGGCACAGCCCACGACACACCTAGGCTATACGCTACTAATCTCATGGGACCAGTGTCATATACGCGGTCCATCGCTGACTGAAACGTTATTATGCAGCACATGACTGTATTCATGTATGTGTGCATGTATTTTGGTATGTACACGTATATATGTGTGTGTGTGTGTGTGTATATTTATACATATTTCCCCACATACGCCCCTGGCTTGTCTGCTGAGGAGGCCAAGGAACAAAAACCCTCTGGTAGCGATGAGTACACCTGGCACCCAGATTTTGGTCTTTAACACCATTCCTCACTAAAAGGAGCCTGGGCTCCACCACCCAGAGATTAGTCCCATTTACTGATGTCATGACAAAGAACACAGGTTCTAACTGCCAATCCCTAAAACTTCAGAAGGCCTGCAGCCGGAGGAGAGGGGCTTCCTGCCGAGAAGAGGAGAGGGACTGAGAAGTTGAAAGGCTGGACTTCTCTCCAGAAACCAGGCTGGTCCGGGAAGACGGAATGGCAACAACCAAGAGCCTTTCAGGAGATAAAACATTCCATTTTTAAATTCTGAAACCCTATTCCTCTTGTTTTTTGTGTGTTCATATGTTGTTCTGAAATGGAAATGGTGGCGACAATAGATGGTGGTTGGGCATTCCTGGACATTTTACTAGTTGATAAAATCTGGAAGTCTGGGAACTACTGGGTTAGACAGTGTCTTCAGCTGCTGCTGCCTCTCAGATTTTATGGAAGTCCTGGAGACTCAACCGGGTCTCTCTGAATTTGTTAAACAGCAAAGAAACTAAGTGAGCTGTTTTGATTGTTATGAATACAAAAATGACTTGGAGTAAATAAATACTAAATAACCATATTGCATGGTTTAACGACAAACAGCTAAGTCTCAGGGACAAAAGACACGAGGGAAGTACCTCATAAGTAACAGGAAGTTTATTCAAGCAAAATGACTGCAAAGTTGAAGTATCATTAATGGACTTATATAGGAACTTAAAAAAGAAATGCGATTTTTATTTTGTAACTGCTTCTAGAAATAAAAACAGGATCTTGAATCTTACATCATGGAAATTCCTAAGGAAATATAGAACTCTCTCTTGATTTTATAATCTGCTACGCAATTATGGTTTATTTATAAACAAACTGGCCCACAGAACACTCAGACACAGAAGCTGAAGATAACAGCTCATGTTGGAGATTTTCTTTAGTTTGTGCAGAATTCACGGTTAATTCATGGTTAATTCAAGCCCAAGGTAACTGCATTCTGATTGCTTTTTGAAAGGACAGCCTTGGGAGATTTTTTTCCAAGGACATTGCTTTGGAAAAAAGATAATTTTTTTTTTCTTAATTCTTGAGACCTGTGTGTGCTGATGGTTGGGGAACTCAGGTAGTCTCTGCTTTTCACCACTTCTCATTTTGGTTAGTCAGACGCCTGACAGTACCCTACAGCCAGCTATGTTTGATTCACCAATGATGTGAGTCAGTTTTGAAGTGTCCTCAGCCCACAGCAAAATGAGGCAGTGTGTCAAGGTGGTGACGGACCATTGCCATCTGGTGGCAACAGAGAGATTGCAAGGTTTAGTGGGTGGGGTAGAGGGTAGAGGAGCAGAAGAGTTATTAAAGACGGCGCTATATGCTTCACGTCGTCATTTTACTTTAACCTCACAACAGCGGTGAGGATGCCATCACCACTCCCATTTCACAGACGAGCAAACTATTGCTCACAGGGCTTCAGTAAGAAGTAACTTGCCCAAGAACATGGAGCGGGTGGCACAGCTAGTGAGGAATGGAGGCAGGTCTCTGGACACCCAAGTGTTTGTTCTCTCTACAGAATCCCCTCTGACTCTGGAGATTTCAGTAGAAATGTGCTAAAATGAAGAACAAAGATGCTCAGTTTATTTTGAGATGGCAGCGGGCTGGATGAGGTATGAATGAACTCATGGAAAAGGAACTAATATTTTTGAGCTGCCACCATATCCCCAATCCTGTGCCTGGTCTCATGTTAATCTCCAGGCAAAGGAGGTCATAGAGAAGCACTAAGGAAATAATCCAACGGGCAAGCGTCTGGAAGTGAGGCTGGAATTTGCTTAATTCAGGAAGAGCTTTTCTGCTGGCAATGAAGGAAGAAGTCAAATTAAGTGTTCTGGAGTCACACACTGGATTTCAACTGTCTCCTCAAATACTTGGGGAGAGGCGGGTGGATGGTAGTCTAAATGGAGTCGCTGCACATTGGGTGAGCTTTCCTGCTCCAACTAAAATTAAAATGTCAAGGCTGAGAAGGGTATTCGCAACAAGTCCAATCCCCTTGTCTTCTGGACAAGAGGACTGGGCCCAGAGAGGTGGCCGAGGAGCGTGCCAACGTCACACAGCTCCTGGAGGCCATGTGGCATTCTGGTGAGGGAGAGGAACTTGAGTTTCTGTGTCAGAGGATCCAGGACATGCTGGTGGGAATCGGGGGTATAAAGGTCACCTGCTGATCTTGGTTGGTGGTAGAGCTCAGGTTTCCTGACCACTCCTGGGGCCATGATAGGGCTCTGTCCCCTTGGGGTGGGCCTCATTCTGGATCAAAGGATTTGAACAAAAGGTGACTGCTGATGATAATCATTTTGGGGTACTAGTCACATTTGCTCACCAGTAACCCATTTAACTATGTTTATAAGGACAACAGACTAAAGAAGCAGATTCAAGGGCTTAGCAATGGCTTATGGACCAGGCAGAGTCCTAAAGAAAAGGCAGCAGTCTCCTTGTTTGATATCATAGGGCTTTGAAGAGGTTTTAAATAAGCAAATTAGCAAAAATGTGGTTACTCTAAATTTCTTCTTTCCTTCGCCCAACAATATTCTCATCTACCCACTCTGTTTCTGGAGCTGAGTTCTAATGTCTGTGTATGATGACAGCCATGGGACCCACAGTGCATGCCTGGCTGTGGCATGAGAGAGAAGTGGATCCTCTGGAATTGGATATGGAGGGTGTAGAAGGTTGATCTTGGCAATTTATAAATGTTAAAAATTGACCATGAATATTTCAGCTGAATTGTATGGATTCATTGTCTACATTTATTAAGTACAGCCAATGTCACCTGTGACATTAATTTTTTTAGAAGTGTATCTCAAGATATATTGAAAATATGAAAATCAGTTATACATCATCATATTTCTCTGACTAGCAAACTTCCCTCATGCACTAAAAGTATAATTTGACCTATTGTTGGCATTTAACTTCTTGGGATCACAGCCTCTTTAATCCGTGGGGCAAACATACTCCTGTGAGATAAACAATGAGCGGTGGCTTACCTTTGTGTGGTCTCTACCTTAGAGGTTTCAGGCAGGGATGAGAAAACCAGGGGCTGGAACCTCTTCCAGTGCATTATTCCAGGAATTATGTCCTGTAATGAAAGCCAGCACAGGGTGCTACATGTAAAGGAGCCGTCTGGTGAGGTGAAGTCCAAGAAGGACTTCCATTTCATTCAGCTGTGACTGTTCTGTCCTAAAATTTTAGCTCCAAAATGTATCATTTCAGTAAGTTTGATTCAACTTTTCTGAAGCTAAAAGACAACCGCTCCAGCAAAGGGCACTAAACAATGCAACATGGAGTTAAAGAGGGTACAAAGGAGAGTTTTTCTTCCCCCTGTTCATTAGGCACATAAGCAACATGTCCTGGGGATGGAGTGCGGATTTGGCCTTACAATCTGTTTTGATTATTGTGAATGGGATGCCAATGCAACATTCAAAGAGGATGGGACCTGCATCAAATGGCATTCCAGGCAGGGGAAGCACGAGCGAATGCATGGAGATGCAAGGAGGGTGCTATCATGAGATGCCAGCTCCCAAAGCTGAGTGCAGGGTGTGTAATGGGGGCTGACGGGAAATGAGGCTGGAGAGGCAGGTTGGTCACGAAGGGCCTTGGTGGCCAAGCTAATGAGCTTGCAGCTGCTCCTACGGAAAGCAGGGACCACTGAGGGCTTTCAACCTAGAAAACAAGACGATCAGATTTATGTTGAAGGAAGATTTCTAGGGAGGGCTGACTGCATGGTGGGGGGCCATGGAGTGGAGTAGAGGGAGCGTCACAGGCTGTTCGAGGCAGACTGGGGGAATCCAGTGATAGTCAAATATGGGGAATGAGGGAGAGGAAGGGCTCAAGGATCACGTAGGTCATGGTCATTGCACAAGTCACAGATCGAAAAGGCAAGGAGGTAATACAGGAAGAGGAGGCAGTTTGAGGTGTGGTCGGCAGAAGTGGGTGGAGATAATGATCTGAGTTAGGGATTTATTGAATTTGAAGGGCCTGAGGGCAACTGCCATAGAAATGGCGCTGGCTATTCAGGGCAGTTTGGTGATGTAGGGGGAGAAGGAATTCTTTGGAGCCTCTTCCTTCCTGTGCATTTGTCATATCGCCACCTTGTCCATTCTGCTATGTCTATAAAAGTTGGGGCCAAAGAAAGAGGAAGTGAGACCATGGGGTTATGCCTGCCATGTGACTGTTTTTACATGGTTGAAATACAGATAAAATGAATATTAGGCGTAGCCTTCAAGGGAAAAAGAGTGAGAAAGTTGAGGAAAGGGCAACGTGCAGCCTGAGAGGTGGGTATGGGCAGGACAAGAGTGATGCTGCGTCTCCCACCCATACCCCTGTAGGGCTGACGCTGAGTGTACACAGCCGCCATTGTTACCATTCCTGTTCTGCCGCTGTGGCTGCAAATCGTCTTTCTCAATTCCAACTGTGACCCTCCATCCTTGTCCCCTGACCTTCCCTGCAGCCCAGGGCCAGCCCTGCCAGCGAGCCTGGTGATGGCGTTACCGTGTGATGGAGAAACTGCCTTTGGGTGAGAGGAATGCTGGACCCATCGTGGGACTCCTTGGTGACCTTGTACTTTGGGGTGAGAACACAGGTGGTAAATCTATCAAGGTTTTCTGCGTAGGTCAGAGGCTGCTTCACAGCAAATACTCCTGGACTGGGATTCTGTAGAAGACAGAGAGGAAAAAAGATTCTCTTCTGTTGACCAGTTTCTAAGCCAGGCATAGGACAGGCGTCAGCTACAGCTCTCGGCACTAGCACCAACACTCTGATTCCATGTCGGCTCGTCTGGGAAAGAGAAGCAGGGGAGCAGAGGGGTCTTCACTTGGCAGCAGTCACAGCCATTCATAAATGTCCCTTTTCTGGTTTGAGCTTCATGACATACTACATGGGTTTACTAAACTCACGTGGAAACAAGGACAACTGAAATCACAGCTTAAAACGGCCTAAAGAATTTGTTTCTAAATATGATGAATTAAGGGGATTTATTAAATAAGCAAACTGGTTTTAAAAATCAAATAAGCTTCTGGTTTTGAAAACAAAAATAGCTTCTTAAAAACTAAATGGAGGACAAGAGGGTGACGTTGGATATCTCAGGAAACGTCAACATTTCACATTGTTTTGATCATGTTTTTCCTTCAAGAAGGCTCCATTTGGATGTCGGATCTGATGTTAAGGGAGAGCCTGTTTTTCACTAATTTTCCAGCAGAGGTAATGGAGGCACAGGGCAATTATATGAAAATACGAAAATATAGAACCTTTTAATGTTCCTTCCTGGGCTTGTCCGACAAAAACCCTATTCTTGTTCCAAACGACAACAAAGCTTTTGCCCTCACAGTTGTTTAATTTCAGATGCTTAAGAACCATTAAGTAGAAATTTTGTTCTTTTTGTTTGTTTGCTTTTAAAAAAATTTTTTAAAAAACAATAAAACTCCACACGGCTTATGGAAACCCAGTCTCACTGCCAAGAAACAAATGTCCCCTGCAATTTAAAGGAAATGCAGCTTGACCAAGGAGCATTACAGCACCCAGGCACAAGAGCTGGGAGAGCCCAGGTGTGGTGTAGGTATTCCGTGTGCTCCAGTCAGGAAGGCTGGGGAGACCGTGAGCTCTGAGAGCAGAGAGGCTGGCTGAGTTAGGGCCTGGGAGAAAGACAGGGGAGGGCTCTTGCCTGAACTCATGGATACAGAGCAAGGAGAAGGGCAGAGAGGCAACGATGGCCACTGAGGGGTCTGCAGTGCCCACAGTCATGCAGAAAGAAGCAGACACCTCGATGAGCACCTGCAGGTGAGGGAAGGTAAGGGTACATATATATATATATATATATATATATATTTTTTTTTTTACAACAGCAGATTCTTTGCTGCTCCTCAAGCGCTGCATGGGGTGGGAACAGAGACGGAGAGAATGTAAACATTGGGTTCCACCCCCTGAAGCTCGACAGAAGACCCTTTACCCAGACAGGGGCTAGAGGGTTGGAAGGGAGCAAGGTGAAAGGTGGGCCCCAGGTGAGCCAAAGCAGGGGAGGCCTGAGGATACCGAGGCAGGTGGGTGGAGAGGAAGGACAGCAAGGAGGGTGGTGGGGGTGAAGTGGGGACAGCTCCTGTTCCCGTGCGTGTCCCCTTAAGTAAGCTCTTATGGAAGGAGAACCAAAGGACAGAAGCAGAGCGAGCACCACCTCTGCCCCACCAGGCCCACCAGATCCTCTGTCGTAGTCACAACACATCCAGAAGTAGAGCGAGGAGAGCCTAGGCCCCCAGCCAGGAAGTGGGGAGACAGGCAGGACTGAAGAAGGGAAAAAGGAACCCGGCTCCACTTCGGGGTAAAGGGAGCAACTGGAGTGTAGGAATCTGAAAACTGCTGACCGCCATCACCAAGAGTCATCCCTGTGGTGACAAAAGGCCAATCAGCACAGCATCTGGGAAGGGATCCCAGAGGGAACTGGGGCAGGAGTGACAGAGACCCCAGCTGGGCCTAGTCATGGTGTGACTGGAGGCAGTGTGAGGGGAGGGGGCTGGCCACGCCCTATGGGGGTGGTGATGGGGCAAGGTGCACCACACCAGGGAGGGGAACGAGCCTGTGGCTTCCAGGAGTGCCTCCTACTCTGCTTGATGGAGGCTGGGTGACGTTGCTGTGTGGCCAACTGTCTTGATCTGCCTTGGGCCAAGTGTAATGAATGACATCTTTTTGGAAATGGTAATATCACTGTCTCAAAGAGTTGTCATACTTCAGATCCCCCTGGGTGGCCATCGCTACCAGAGTAAGTGGTCTGAGTGGTCACCCCATGATTATTTTGATCTGAATTTTCCTCAAACTAATGCATGCATACAGTAGCAACTCACCCACGCTGGAAGGATTAGTGACGAAAAGCAACAAGGCTCCTGCAGGCCCTTCCTATCCCCAGGCCCACCCAGAGGCTGTTTTTTCCCATTATTTCTGGGTTTTGTGTCTGTGATGGTGACTATTCTAACTCTAAACATTATGCTTATTTTTCCATCTCTCAATTATCAACCTCAGATAATGCCAGTTGACTCTTTACTAAGCAAGATAAGGATTTTGCTCATGTACACAACTGCTCCTTCCAAACGTCTTCCTCCCAATTTTGAAAATTATATTATAATTTTTAGTCCTGCTGTTGGTTATCTTTGTGACCTGAAATGATGCATTTATACTCCTATTTCTTGTTTCCTCGTCTTTAGTTGAGTATTTCAACTCCTCCTCAGGTAAAATGAAAGCATTAGCATTCCTACACTTTCTTGTACCTTTCCTCCTCTCTTCCACAATTTACTTTTATATTATTGAGATGATTGACATTTGCATTCTGGAACCACACCAAGACCTTCATGCTTTGTTCATAAGCTGTCTCTAAAAGCTGAAAACTGGTAAATGGCATTTATTTTGTCTTAATGGTATAGATATGTTTCTCTGCCAGGCAAAGAAAAGGCTCGTACTGTAGTTTTTTTGTGAAGATTCAATATCATGGTCTGTGGGTCACAGAGAGAGGAGAGTTCTAGTATCAAGAACCCCAAAATGGGTTCTATATTTAAAAATTTTCCAACTCTTAAAAAGCATGCCAAATTTTAATTTGTTTTCCTATTTGGAACACAGACTGATTTTTAGTTGATTTTTCCTCCTGGAGTTTATAATGGCCTTTTTTTGCTTGAATGACGTGCCTTTATAAGATCCTCGGGTGTCTCCATCCTTCCCACTGCACTGTTCATGCGTGGAGCACACCCTTCCCTTGACACCTCTTTCCCAGAGCCCTTCACCCTCTCTCCTCTGAGCTTAATGCGCAGATATCATCCAAGACTTCACTATAACACTTTACCAGTTGTAACGGGGATATCTTTCCTTTTACTTTTGTTTCTTTTCTTAGGGTTTCAAATTCTTTCTTTTATAGCTATATTGAGATATAATTGATATACAATAAATTGGACATATTAAAAGTATATAATTTGGTATGTTTGACATATGTTGCATCTGCAAAACCATCACTGCCATAAAAATAACGAACATCTTCATCACTCCCCAAAGTTTCCTCTTGCTCCTGGGTAATCCCGCCAGCTCTCCATACCATCCACCCACCCAAGCCCCAGGTGGACATAATCTGCTTTCCGTCTGTACAGGTTACTTTAGATGTTCTAGACTTTTAAATAAATGGAATCACATAGTATGTATATTTTTTGGTCTGATTTCTTTACCCAGCATAACTATTCTGAGAATCATCCATGTTGTTATATGTATCAAGAGTTCACTCCTTTCTGTTACTGAAGAATATTCCATTGTACGGTAATACCACAATTTGTCTGTCAACCTGTTGATGGACGCTTCTTTCCAGTTTGGGGAACATATGAAGCTGCTGTGAATATTCCTGCACAAGTCTTACGCTTCCATTTATCTTGGGTAAATACCTAGGGGCCAGATTGGCTGGATCAAAATGGTAGGTCTACGTTTACTACTAACTTTTTTAGTTTGGCAAGAAACTGTCCAAAACTTTTTTCTAAAGTAATTGTACCACTTTACATTCTCACCAGCAGTCTTTTTAATTTTAGATATTCTGACAGAGGTATCCTATTATGGTTTTAATTGACATTTTGCTACTGATGCATTATTTTGAGCATCTTTTCATGTTGTATTTGCCATCCTTTGATGAGATGTCTGTTCAAATCTTTTGCCCATTTTAAAATTGGGTTGTTTGTTTTCTTACTATTGAGTTTTGAGTGTTCTTTATGCATTTTAGGTACAAGTCTTTTATCAGATACGTGATTTTCAAATAGTTTATCCAAGCCTGTGATTTATCTTTTCATTTTCTTAACAATGTCTTTAGAAAAGCAGAAATTCTTAATTTGGACAAAGTCCAATTAATCCATTTTTTTTCACTTATGGATTGTGGCTTTGACGTTGTATCTAAGAAATCTTTGTCTTACCCAACGTCACAAAGACATTCTCCTATGTGTTTTCCAGTTTAGGTTTTATATTTAGGTCTATGATCCATTTTGTGTTAATTTTTGTAAATGGCATGAGGTACAGATTGAAGTTCTTTTATTTCTAGTTATTTTTATTTTTGGTAAATGGATATCCAAATGTTCCAGCAGTATTTGTTGAAAAGACTGTCTTTTCCCCAATGAATTGTCTTTGACCTTTGTCAAATATCAGTTGACCATATATGTATGAATGCATATATTTCTGGATTCCTTATTCTGTTTCACTGATCTGTTTGTCTCTTTTTATGCCAATACCATACTGTCTGGAGCACTATAGCTTTCAAATAAGCTTTAAAGTTAGGTAGTGTAAATCCTTTGACTTTATTCTTCAAAGTTGTTTTGGATATATTTGCATTCCATATAACTTTTTGAATAAATCTGTCAATTTCTACCAGAAAAGCCTGCTAGCGTTTGATTGGGATTGTGTTGAATTTTTAGATTAGTTTGGAGAGAACTGGCATCTTAACAATGTTAAATCTCCCGATCCACCCACATGGTATATTTCTCCATTTATTTAGGTCTTCTTTGATTTCTCTCAGCAATGTTTTATAATTTTCTGTGTAACAGTTCATATATTTTTGTCAGATTTATCCCCTAACTGTTTTCATATTTTTGTGATGCAATTGTTAAGTGAGATGGCTTTTTAAAATTTCAATTTTTGATTGTTGCTAGTATTTAGAAATATAGCTGATTTTTGTATATTGATCCTGTTTCCTGCAATCTTGGTAAATTCACTTATTAGTTTTAGTAGATTTTTGGGTAGACTCATTGTATCTTCTACATAGATAACAGTTTTGTTTGTGAATAAAGGCAGTTTTACTTTTTCCTTTTAAATGTAGATGCTTTTTCTTTCTTTCCCTTGCCTTGTTGCAATGGCGATAGTTACAATCTTGAATAGAATTAGTAAGAGTAGACATCTTTGCCTTATTCCTGACCTTACAGGAGAAGCATTCAGTCATTTACCATTCAGTATGATGTCAGCTCCAGGTTTGTAATAGATGCCCTTTATCAGGTTGAGAAAGTTCCCTTCTGTCCCTTACTTGCTGAGAGTACTTATCAGGAGTGCTGTCAGATAATTTTTCTGCATTTGTCGAGATGATCATATTGTTTTTCTTTTTTAGTCTGTTAATATGGTGAATTACCTTGAGTTTGGAATGTTAAATTAATCTTGTATTCCTGGCATAAGCCCCTATTTGCTCATGATACATTACCCCTTTTATATTATGATGAATTTGATTTGTTAAAATTTTGATTTTTTTTTTTTGCATCTATGTTCATGAAGGATATTGGTCTATCCTTTTCTTTTCCTGTAATGTCTTTGTCTGGCTTTGGTTTCGGAGTAAGACTGGCTTCTAGAGTGAGTTGGAAAGTAATCCCTCCTCTTCCATTTTCTGGAAGATTTCTTATGGATTTGGTATTATTATTTTCGTGGATTTTGTACTACATGTTTGAGAGAATTCTTCAGTGAAGGCATCTGGGTCTGGAGTTTTCTTTGTGGGAAGGTTTTTAACCACCAATTCAAATTCTTTAATAGAGATAGAACTAGTAGAGTTATCTATCTCTTTTTGACTAAGATTTAATAGTTTGTACCTTTTAAGGAATTTGGCCATTTAACTTAAGTTGTTGAACTTATTGGCATAAAATTTTTCATAATACCAATTTATTATCTTTTTAATATCTGTAGAATATGTAAGGATGTCACCTCTCTCATTCCTGATACTGGTAATTTATGTCTTTCACCTTTTTTTCCTGATCATTTAGGTACAGGTTTATCCATTTTATTGATATTCAAAGAACCAGTTTTTCTCTATTGTTTTTCTGTTTTCAACTTTATTGATTTTCAGTATGATCGTTACTATTTCTCTTCTCTGCTTAATTTGGGTTTCGTCTGCTCCTTTTTCTGAGTTTCTTAAAGGGTTAGTGAGGGCACTAATGTGAGACCTATCCTCTAATGTCTTAATTCCCCCCAAAATTTTTGTGTTGTGCTTTCATTTTCGCTCAGTTAAAAATACTTTCTAATTTCTGTTTTGATTTCTTCTTTGGACTATGGGCATTTTTTCGCTTGAGGAAGATTAGCCCTGAGCTGACATTTGGGCCAGTCTTCCTCTATTTTGTGTGTGGTTCGCCACCAAAGCATGGCTGATGAGAGATACAGGTCTGCGCCCCAGATCCGAACCCATGAAACTGGGCCACTGAAGCAGAGCACGCTGAACTCAACCACTAGGCCGCGGGGTTTGTCCCTGTAGGCTATCTTAAAGTATATAATTTAGCTTCGAAATTTTGGGGGGATTTTCTAGATAGTATTATGCTATCCATTTCTGATTTAATTCCATCAAAGTCAGAAAAAATACTTTATATGATTTGAATCTTTTCAATTTTATTGAGCCTTGTTTTAGGAACCAAAATTTGGTCTATCTTGGCAAACCTTCTGCGCACATCTGCAGAGAATCTGTAGTCTGCTGTTTGGGGGTAGTGCGTTCTTGCAGCGTCAGTTAGGTCAAGTCAATCCAGAGTGGTATTTGTCCGTTATGTCCTTACTGATTTTCTGTTTACTTCTTCTACCAATTATTGAGAGAGGGGTGTTGAAATCACCAACTATAACTGTGGAGTTGTCTATTTTTCCTTTGCAGTTCGATCCGTTTTTGTTTCAGGTATTTTGAGGCTCCAGTGTTAGGTGGGGTAAGCATTTAGGATTGTTGTGTCCCTTCGATGAACTGTCCCGACCTTAGGTTCCTGTCCTATACAGAGCAGGTGCGCCCTGAGTATTTGTGGAATTAATCAATTAATAACTACTGATATTTTCCAAGGGAAGTATGAGCGTGACTATGGAACATTCCCTTAACTTCTCCACACCAGTTTTCTCACGTTTAAAATGGTGAGGGAGTGAGAGTGGGTGGGTCTGGGGGACAGGAGACTGGAGAGTGGTTCTCAAACCTTGCTGTGGGGAACCTTGGGTTTTGCAGGGTCGTCCTCCCCAGGGGACACCCTGAGGGAAGTGGAGGGGTGGAGAGAGCAACTAGGACTTTATTTTATGTATTGCCTTTCTATGTAAAATTTTGGTGGATGAGAGGGTTCTAGGCTAAATGAAATTTGAAAATCACTGAGTTAAATGTCCTGTGAGGTGGTCCCAGCTCTAAAATTCTCTGTCTCTGGGAACACTCCTCTCAACCAATGAGCCTATGAGAAAATGCCATGAGACTAAGAGAAAATGCCCCCTCGTGGCCAAGACGCACACAGCACAGCTGTCTGTAGGAAAGCAGCAGAGGGCAGAGGAAGAGCCCCAGGCCAACAGCCAGGAAACAGGCAGGTGTCTGTCCCAGCTCTTCGCGAACTGGCTGAGCCCCCCTGGGTGTGACTAGCAGCATCTCTGCCCGCCTTAGAGATCCAGATTCTCATCTGGAGAGCCTCACAACGGAGACTTTCTCCAGTAGCATCTAAGGTCCTTAATTCTGTGTGCATGCGTGTGTTTGCCCTTAGAAAAGCAGACCAGGGGCTGGCCTGGTGGTGCAGCAGTTAAGTTCACATGCTCTGCTTTGGAGGCCTGGGGTTCACTGGTTCGGATCCTAGGTGTGGGCCTATGCACTGCTTGTCAAGCCATGCTGTGGCAGGGGTCCCACATATAAAATAGGGGAAGATGGGCATGGGTGTTAGCTCAGGGCCCACCTTCCTCAGCAAAAAGAGGAGTACTGGCAGTGGATGTTAGCTCAGGGCTAATCTTCCTCAAAAACAAAACAAAACAAAACAAAACAAAACAAAACAAAAACAGACCATGACTTGGGCAACTACTGTGGCATTTCACCGATGACTCCATTATTAATAGAACCTCATCAGAGGTCCAGTCTGGCTTGCAGTCATTTAGGATTTGAGTAGGTGGAAATAGAAGGGTAGAGGAGGGGATCCATGAGGGCAGGTCAGCGTAAGGGAAGGCATGGTGCCGGGAGGGGAGCGCACAGAGTGTGGCAGGGACGCATGAGGGGCGCAGGGAGAACGTGGTGTTTATTGCTGGCCTCGCAGTCAGGAGCTGGGACTTAATCTGTAGGAAATGGAGAGTCAGTGAGGAGCGCTGAGCAGGACGGGGGCCTGGTCAGGGTGTGCTTCAGCGAGGCTAGCCAAGCACAGGAGCAGGAACGAACCAGAACAGAGGAAAGTGGGCGGCAGAGGGGCAAACGTGGAAGGGACATGCCACCCAGGGATGGACTGAGGAATCGGCAAAGCTGCGGGGAACGGAGTTCGGGTGATTTTAGTTTCTTTTTCTGTTGTGTTTTCTTTTCCCTTTCTACTTTTTAAAAAACTTTCTGTGTGTGTGTGTGTGTGTGTGTGTGTGTACACACATATATTCATAGATATTCATATTCATTACATATACTTAAATATTATACATAATTAGAAAGATCATAAAGCTACTGTAATAAAAATAAATGCTGGCATTTTTAAAAGATAGAAACACTGATATTCTCCAAATAATAAGTGCTGGCAAGTAATTTAAAGGGCTGACATATTGTTTAACATTTGAAATTCCAAAGAGAGAAAAGTATTCCAATTAATGCTTCTGTTTTCTTACAAAGTAACTGCTGAAGTCAAGGAACGTGGAACACAAGCCCTCTGCTGATTGTCACTTACAAAAATATAAAGCGGGTCGTAGTCTGGAGAGCTGGCTAAGGCCTCTGGGGGTTTCATGCTCAGGACCGAGGTCTTGCCGGCCAGCTGAGGTGCGGCCTCCTGGTTCGGCAGGGCTATGATGGTGGTGGCTTCATCCTGCGCAGGGACCGAGAGCGGCGTGTTAGTTTTGATGCCAGGACAAGAGGGGAAAGGTGAGCATGAGTCTAGAAGGCGGGGCTGTTACCTCAGCTCCTTGCTTCAGGGCTCGAGCAAGCTTTTGAGGTCTGTAACTTGTGGAAGACTTCTGGACACAGAATGGCTGATACCCCTTGATTTTGTACAGCTCAGGAACCTGAGGGCGAAAGGAGACGGCTGACTGCATGTCCTTAAAAGCCCGTCACCGTTTAGGGGGATCTACTTCTCAACAGCGTTTCTGAGCTGCCTGACGGTAAAAGGAAATAAGCGCCATGTTGTAACCATCACATCGTGGCAGTTACCACTTTGGACCAGCCCTGGAGGGACTTTAGTGCAAGTCCTGAGCCCGGTTCTGGGTCCCAGCACACACGAGCCTTCACAATTACCCTCCCACAGCATATGGCTTAACTGCAGACATACACCAAACACTAGTTTGTCCATTTAAAGTGTTTATATTCTCAAGAGCAGAAGTGGTCACACACCTCAAGAAAGGCTGACTAACTTTTGTTCAGTATCTTGTGTTTTTCTTAAAGTTTCTAAGATGTGAAGTTCAGATAGCTTCATGTATGCATAATAGAGGGTATAATCACAGAATAAAGACCCTGGTTTCCATAAGCCACGCTGGGAAAAAAGAATCTGTTATACCTCACACATACCATAAAATAACAGCAGAAAAATACACGCAATATTCCACACAGTATAATCTGTAATGGAACAAAACTAATAAAATAATGCAGTTCAGATCAAGAATATTTTGTTCACTTTATAAGAAACCCAATTAACTAATACCATACGACAGTTCTGACCTGCAGCTTGAGGAAGGAATAACTCTGCTTGATTGGAATTTCTGAAGATTTGATTGGGACCGGGCCAAGGCCGTCGGGAGCCTAAAATGTGAGAATTCCAAAAATTGACGCATAATCAACATTGAGCAAAAGCGCCCATGCTTCTATTTTCACACATTTCCAATATTAAATGAACAGCTCTGCTCTCAAAGTGCCCCTTCCCATGACCACAGGTGCTGCTTGATGTGTGGCGCCTGGAGGCAGCGTGGCCACCCCTCCTCCTCGTCTCTTAGTGAACGTGATTCTTCTTTTTTATTTTCTACTGTTGTGGACACTGCAACATGCTGCCCAGAATCCCCTTCGGGCTTCAAGGATTTAGTGCCCCAGCTGCTAGGAGTCCCGTTGGTAGAACAGCTCCCAGGGGTCAGCCCTCCCCAGGAGTTGCCTTGGCTGAAAGGAGCCGCCTCACTCATCACGTGCCCGTCCTGGGCAGCCCGTCTCCAGTGACAGGTTGAAGCGAAGGTGTAAGGGCCAGGTCCTCTCACTGTCCCAGCTTTGGAGCCCCTCAGGAGTTCAGCAAGGCCTTTGTCAGGATTGCCGCCCTGCGTCGCTCTGTGTACTCCTGCCCCCGCCACGTCCCCTCCACAGGTCCCATCCCAAAAGCACTACCTAATGACCCTCCTGCATGCTAATCTGCTTGGACACCGGAGCACCTGGACCAGTGCCTGACATATTATGGGCACTCAATAAATACGGTATTTCACCTAATCTAAGACACCATCATTAAATTAGTAGGATACAGTGCTAACATGCCATCAATTATAAGACATCTCTCAATTTCAAAGATGCTAAATATGAAAAAAGTGATCTTAGAATCGATGAAATATAGTATTTATGGAACTAAAAAATTCTTTATAGACAAGAATGCTGAGAATTCTGTTTTTCATCAACCCTGAGCAACAGAGAAATCTTTACAGAACTAACTAAAATATCAAGTGAAATGTGTAAGCTTTGAACTATACCAAAACAAGGAGCTGGGCCCACAGCACAGTGATGCTCTCTCTTCATCCCTGCCATCCTGTCCACTCCACTAATTATTGACTGCCAGATATTTATTATTGCTTAAAAATCACAGATTTATTTTTTCCTAGGAGCTAAATATTCTGATCTTTTAAGTTGTTTAATTATCTAATGCAAAAAACACATGGAATTTCTAAAGTCAGTTCTGTAACCCTTGAGAGGATTAACCTGCAATGCTTAACGCACCCGATAGGATGCGAATGGCAAGTTTATTCTTTGAAACTAAAAGAATTATGTTGTATATGCACTTTCAGTATCAATTTAAACACAATTTTTATTGCTAACTACTGAACTTGGGCAACATTTTATTACTGGCTGTGTGACCTTATGCCTCAGGTTCCTCCTCATCTGTAGATGATAATCTTACCACGTAGATTTACTGAAGAGGAAGTCAACTGATACAACTGAAGCATTAAGACACTGCCCGACTCATGGAAATGCAGCGTAAGGATAGCTACTGCTTTTCCTCTAATGCATTAGTGCCCCATGGGGCAAGCGGGATGAACCGTCACGCCTCTCGCCACTGAGAGACACAGAGAGAGAGAGAGGGAGAGAGAGAGGAGGAATTCTGAGTCTCATGGGTTAGATTGTGAGATTCTGGGGCCGTGTTCCCTCATTCCTAGGTCAGGTCATGGACCTGGGGGCTGCCCTTCTTGGCCTCTCCGTCAGCTGAGCAGGGCCTGTCTCCCGGGGCCAGGCCAGGCCGTCTTGTTTCTCTGTCTGCCCGTCTGCTCTCAGGCCCGGTTCCCAGGCAGTCAGGTGGGGCTCAGGGCCCTTGCTGGGTTCCAGGCCAGGAAGGACCCAGCCCAGTTTACCCAGGAGCTCTGCACAGGTGTATCAGGTGCCAGGCAGGTGGCAGTAGCTGATCTCTGGTTTCCCATTGGTCACAATTCCCTGGGCACAGGTCTCCCTTGGGAGCCTCTGAGGACGAGGTGAAGGGACTGAGCCCAACAACTATCTCTGCCTCACAACCATCCGATCATGCCCGGGCCCCACCCCCAGCCTCGCAGCACCCACCAACTCGTTGGAGTCCTGAGGAGCACTGTGGGACGGGAAGGCGAAGGGCAGGACTTCCTTGGGCGACACCGAAAACCGCCTGGAATAATCGTCGTGACCGATCAGCGGCAGAAATCTGGAGGGACTCTTGTCTATGGGTGAAACAAACAGCACTTTTGGGGCGTTCTTAAGGCATTTCTCTGTGAAACCACCGTCTGTGGTTGTGTATTGAATTAGTGGGTACTTGCCACACAGCATTTCCAAAAGAATATCGATGGATGTACGTATTAGACCCATTTTTAGTTTCTCTTTTGTTCTTTACCTCAACACCCTCTCCAAATTTTTAAAATTTTATTTTACTTTTACTTCTAAAAAACAATAATTCCAAATGAAAGTATCTCTGATGAATATTCCCTGTCCTCGTCAGCAAAGAAAAAGATTAAATTAAAGAAGCATATTGAAGACATTTTCCAGGTATCCATACATACCTCACAGGTAAATGTTACAGTATTTTTTTAAAAGAGTTTCTTTATTAGAAACTTGAATACCAGAGACAGAAATAATAAAGGAGGGAAAAAAGAATAATTAAAATGCAATAAAATGTTATGAAAAACAAAATACCCACTGGATCTTAAAGGAGAGGAAGCAGAGGGGAGGGGGTGCTGCTGGGGACCGAGGGCCTGAGCCTGAGGCCCCCGGGCCCCCTCCTTCCCTTGGGGCTGTCTGGTCTCGCTCCCCGGCCCTGGTTTGGGGCACTACCCATGGAGGAGGGATGGGGTCCTGCTGGTGTGTCCGGACTGAAGGGCCAGCCCACTGCCTGTGCTCTGCCGGGCTCCCAGCACCCCCGCCAGCCCCCACCCCCCCATGGTGGAGCTCAGCCCGCCCCCTTGGCATGAATGGAAGTCTTTTCTTGCCTCTGATCATGGACTTAATAAACAGCACTGGACTAAGTAAAAAAAAAAAAATTAAAAATCAATACAGTGCTATGAAAAACAAAGTACCCCTCTGGGTCCTGAAGGAGAGGAAGCGGAGGAGAGGGGCTGCTCCTGGGGGCAGGGAAGTGGAGCCAGGCTCGGGGGCTCAGCTCGGGAGGGGGGAAGAGTGCCAGAGGATCAGGGCCTGCCTGTGCATCTGCACACGAGCCACCGATGGAGAATACGGGACATGGCTTTTGGGCTCCCAGAATCTACTGAGAGTGGGTGTCTAACAGCCCTGGTCACCCTGGGGATCAGAGGATGGGAAGTTCTTTAAGTAGCAAAGATCATACAATATAAAAAACTTTATGTGCAAATGCTAGATTGAGACAGATGCAGCCAATCGACAGTATAAATGATGACTATCTTATTCTCTTGGGTGACAAGAAAGAACAGAGGGCACAAAACAGGAGGTTGAACCACCGCCACCCTTCAATGAGGTTACGACTTGGTCAGGTTGGTTGACCCTGCCTACTACCAAGTGGGCAGGTATTTCACCCAAAGCTGCCATGGAGGTCTGATTTGTCACTGGTGGGTTGAATAATGGCCCCTCCAAGGTGTCCCCATTCTGTTCCCCAGAACCTGTAACTACGTCACCTCACATGGTAAAAGGGACTTTGCAGATGTGATTAAGTTAACGGTCCTGAGATGGGGAGAGTGTCCCAGGGAATCCAGGTGGGCCCAGGGTCATCACAGGGTCCACAGAAGAGGGAGACAGGAGGGCCAGCGTCAGAGAAGGAGACGTGACGACTGAAGCAAGAGGTCAGAGTGATGCGAGGAAGGGGCCACAAGCCAAGGAAGGCAGGCGGCCTCCAGAAGCTGGGAAAGGCCAGGAACAGACTCTCCCCTGGAGCCTCCAGAAGGAACCAGCCCTGCTGACACCTTGACTTGAGACTTCCGACCTCCAGAACTGTAAGATAGTAAATCCGTGTTGTTTTAAGCCATTATGTTTCAGGTGATCTGTTACAGTACCCATAAAAAAAACTAATGCATGTGATTCATGAAAATATTTTATTTCTACACAGCTAACTTCGTTATAAAGAAACCTCGTGCTCAGAGGACTTACTGGTCAAGGCGTTGCGATTCTTCACAGCTGTACTTTACCTGGTGCTATTGACTGTCGTCCTTTAGTGAGCCTTCTGAGGATGGTCCCTTTGTCCATGTCATGAACAGCACTCAGCATACTGAGTAGTCGTCGATGAACCATGATCTGGAATTAGAAAGAATAATGATCTCAAATTATTAATTGGCACATGCTCATTTTGGCATTCAATTTAACTCACTTTCCCCAACCACAACTAAGGGCTGAGGCCACCACTCTAAGTCAGAATTCACAGGGAGAGTGGCACGCTGCCCTAGGCTGAGGCCATGCGGACGTCAAGGTCTGGGTAACACTGACCTGCCTGAATACAAAAAAGACCAGGTTGCCATTTGGCCTTGTCCCACCCAATTTATGAGCTCTGGTTTTCTCTATTTCCAGAGTGGAAAGAATGACTAGTTCTACGTTCTTTCTTTTCGGTACATCTGAATAGTAACGCTCCCGCTGTGTTAGCTGCAGAATTGAGGGACAAACTGAAGGGGCGATTCTGTAGAAATAGGGCTCTGGACTTTGGGCAGTGCTCAGCGTACACCACTGTGCTCTGCATTCCGAGCAGATGCTACTGAAGGTGAGCGCTCCCTGTGCGCAGAGCTGTGGCTGAGGGGACCCTTCATGCAGTGTAACACTCCTTTCCATCCTGTAAAGGACTCTCTTGTTCAACAAATATTATCAAGTGGCTACTGTGTGGCCAGTTCTGTGCAAGGTCCTGGAGATACAGGAGGCAGACCACGTGCTGCCCGAGGGAGCCGATGTTCCCGTGTGTGTATGGGTGGGGGTGGGATGGCAACAGACACTTGACCAAATAAACATGGTGAACGCCATGAAGAAAATAAAAGAGAGTAAATGCATGAGGGCATGACTGAGGGGCTGAAGGGGGTCGGACTGGCAGGGATGATGAGGGAAGGCCTCTCGGAGGAGGTGAGCTTTGATCTGAGACTTAAAGGATGATCAACGACGATGATCTTGGGAAGAGAGTTCTGGCCAGAGGAACCAGCAAATACAAAGATCCTGATTCAGAAACCAAGGAGATGGTTTAAGGGACAGAGATAAATCCATGTGGTCATGTAGCCTCGATAAAAATTGTGCGTCTGATTCTAACTGCAATGTGAAGCCTTTGGAGGGTTTCGCCAGGGGAGAGGTATTACCATCTTCAAGCTTTGGGGGTACTACTCTGGCTGCTGTGTGGGGACGGGAAGCAGGAAGATCTGTTGCAGTGGTCCAGGTGAGAGAGGAGGGGGTGGCTGAGCTGAGGAGATGGCTGGAAGTCATCAGGCTGGGACTATATTTGCACACTGAACTGACAGTACTTGCTGGGGAGTGTGAGCACAAGACTGAGCCATCACTCAGAGCGAAGCATGTAGCTGCGGACGGTACTTTTTTCAAGCTGGAGGGTTTGCTCCAGAATGTCCAGGGTGGTCCCATTAGTGGGAAGCCAGCCCGGCCAGTATCTTGCTGCTGTTTGCCCGTTGTTGGCAGCTGTGCTCTCTTCTCTCAGAGCACAGCTTCGTGCTGCCTCTTTGCACCACTTTCCTCCCCACGGTCAGCATCTTGCGGCACCTCTGTTCTGCATATACACAGAGCCCACCAAGACTTCAGCAGGGATGCGGGTTCCATGGGGCCTTGGAGGTTGGTGAGCAGGTCACTGATGCAGCAAGCTCTGCCTCTGCCTGGACCGTCAGCAGTCCCGGCTGAAAGCGCTGCTGGAAAGATCATTGGTACCATAAACTTTGGAGTCCCCTGTACGTATTCACACATTTAATCCTCATGGACAACCATGTGAGACAGGTCTTACTGTCATCCTCAGTTACAGATGGGGAAACAGAGGCCCAGAGGTTATATAACTTGTCCAAGATCAGAAAGCTCCTAAGAAGTAGCACCAAGAATTAAGGGCGGGCAGTCTGGCTCCAGAGTCCAAGTCTTTACCACTGCTCTCCCCTGCTTGAGGGGCGGCTCTGCCCACCGAGGGAGCCACTCTAGTGGCAGGGACAAGAGATCTACAGGCAGCATACGATGCAAGAGGCACCACAGAGATCGCTAAGTGCTGAAGCTTACAAGGACTGTTTCTTGGAGGAAAGGTAGACTGCGCTGGCTCAAAGGACAGTCACTGACAGATGGAGATGGAATGGCGTTTCAGCTGATGGGCAAGGGGCAGAAACACAGGTTTGTAGCAGGGAATGAGCTGGTGTGTTTGGAAGAAGACAAGGACTGAGACAACCTAGAGAACAGGAGGCAGCTGGAGGGGGTGTGGGTGCAGCCAGACCAGCGGCTCACCTTCCACCCTTTATTGGCATTCAAGGCTAAGAGGTCATTTTATTTTGATCACAGGAAGCCACTGGAGGCTCGCAATGTGCTGGGTGGAAGACCAGCGTGAGGGTGAAGAAGGCACAGCAGTGAGATGACACCGTGAAGGGGAAGCCATAAGCCTGGATGTTAGAGACAGGATTCCACAGGAATTCTCAATTGTTCTTTCTAGAAATAACTGATCAACATCCAATTGTTCTAGAGTTACCCTATGACCTGGCAATTCTACTCCTAGATATATATACCCAAGAGAATTGAAAACGCATGTGCATAAATTGTACACAAATGTTCACAGTATCATTATTCATAACAGCCAAAAAGTGACAACAACCCAAATGTTTCCAAGGATGGATAAACAAAATGTGGGACATCCATACCTCGAAAACACATTAAGAGAAAGAAGCCAGCTACGAAAGGCCGTGTGTGTGTGATCCTATTTCTGCCAAATGTGCAGAAGAGGCAAATCCACGGAGGCAGGAAGCAGACGAGCGGTGCAGCGACTGCGGGAGCGAGAGGCTGCTCGCGGGAATGCGGGTTCTTTGTGCAGCGATAAAAATGGTCTAAGGTTAGACAGTGCTGCTGTGAGTACACTGAAAACTACTGAATCGTCCAGTTTCCAAGAGTGAATTTTATGGCATGTGAATTATATCTCAATAAAGCTGTCATAACAACCTCACCGTTCAATTTCCTTGTGCTGATGACTAAACACATTGCGGTTTCAGTCTGGTCCTGAGACTTACCTTGCGGGCTGCTTGTTGAAACCGTCTTTGCGCCCTGAACCTGTTGACCCAAGTATTATTCGTGAGTGGATCAAAACTTGGATGAAATTCCTCGATTTTCTGTGAACACAAAATATAGACACATCTTAGATTTAAATTTTAACTCCTGGCATAAACATTTAATAAAAATGTTTTAGAGTTTGATCCCAAATCAAGTTATTATTTATTTGTCCTGCCATTTAATGAGCATTTATTCAGCACTTTTAGTGTACAGAGCATTATAGGGAATACTTCTTGGGTTGAGGGTCAAAAGTAGAAGACAAGATTTGGGTTTTAAGAGATTTACAGTCTGGTTAGGGAAGCTCAAGGAAACACATGTGACCCTGAGGAAGAAGAATAAAGACACACAGAAACCAATGCCACGCTGGGGGTGCTGGCACGGCATCCAGAATCGAGAGCAGCGGGCTGTGGGATCCTCGCGGAGAACGAGGACTGTTTTGCTCAGCCCTGCACCGAGCACCAGCACAGGCCTGCGTAGGGAGTGCAGTGTGCATAGGTCAGTAAATGAACGCAGAGGAAAGGACGCCTGCCACAGCCTCAGGCACTGGAGCTTCTCGAACAAGGAAACAATACGAAGGAAAAGGCATCAGAAGGGAACTCATCTCACGCTGGCCCACGCAGCGGGCTGGAGAGGAGAGGGAGGAGGGGCGGATACAGGAACAAACAAGCTGTTGGATTAGCTGAGCGTGAGCCACGAAGGCCGGGCTTGGGTGTGGCCTTGTGGAAGAGCTACGGCCAGACTCCGTGGCCAGACTAAATGCGGGAGAAGAAAAGAGGTGGAAATAATTCAGATGTGGCAAACCCAGAAAAGAACAGCGGGAATGATGGAGGTGGGGGAGATTAGGAAGAATTGCTTCATTGTTGAAATTAAAAATTGGGGTTTTAACCAGAAACTATCATATGACAGAGATACTCAGATGGAGGGGCTACTGTCCCCATTCTAGGTTTGAGGACACTGAGGCTTCAAGGCTAAGAGGGCTTCTCCTAGGTCCCAAATCGGTAGTAGAGCTGGGACCAGAACTCTGGCTTCTGACCTCCTGTCTCGTATCCTTCCCACAAGGGGACCAGGCAAGGAACAGAGGCCCAGGGACCCACCAGGAGCACCCGCAGATGGGCTTGCAGAGCAAAGGGAAACAAAAAAAGAGATCCAGAAGGAGAAAGTAGAGGGGTGGAAAGGAGGAGCCAAAGTATATAATGCCGTTCATTTCAAGGGAAGCATTAATTACGAGTTTTGATGCTTTACTCGCAATACGTAAGAAAAAACACTCTGCAAGTGTAAGCATATTAAAAATTATTAAATGTTTCTTGGTACAAGGATTTCTATAAAACTGTTTAGCATTTTAAAAATAAGCATATAAAGAGCTGCCAATAATTAGATTTCAAGGAAAGGAAAGTTACCCACTTCTTCCAGATTGCGAACAACGCGTGTGTGGTTAACTTCTGTCTTGAGTCGCTGAAATTCCTCATCCAAAACAGGATCTCCTCTATCCAGCTGGGTTTTTAATCATCAAAAACATTAAAATTGAATACAAGTGTACCAACTTTATTTCTCTTTAAAACTGGCAGAAACCAATTAAGCAATTGGACAAACCCACCCATGGAGTTCCCGTTGGGAGTGGCAGTGATGGAAGTAGGTTATAATGATCGTTATGATCACACTTACTGTTTAAACATAGGGACTTTCTATAGAGGCACAAACCCAATACCTTCTTTTTGTAATTAGAGGACAATGTCTCTGGAAATGATTTCTGAGGCATTTAAAACTCACAGAAAGGATTTCAGGAAACCATGTAACCATGGGAGTATAGAGCTTTCATTTAAAAGAAACTTAATGTCCCAGTGAAGTTTTAAGCCCCTCTGAGCTGATTATCCAGATTGTAACAAAGGCACGTGGTTCCTCCCCTTTCCCGGTGGTGGATGGGGTCTGTCTCTTCCCTGGAGTAAGCGTCCCCCAGGCTACTCCCTTCCCCGATGGCCCCTGAGCTCTTTCCTCTTCCCCAGGGGTCACGGGTCAGTCCCAGGAAGGTAGGCTGGGCCTGGGTCAGTGGCGACACCCTCATGCCTCCATGGAAAAGGGGGCCGTGCACACTGCAAAAATTTGTTAGCTTTTGTCTACCTGCGGTTTTTCATATTTGTTTGTTAGGTGACTTCTAAAACTAGCTTGGCTCTTAGGTACATTGTTCACAATCATTTTTAGAGACTTCACTGGAAGACATCTATTCTGATCACCGCATTAACACCCTATTCAGAAGTAAGAGAGTTCTATTGTTGTCGCCGAGGTGGGGAGCTGTCTAGCTCTGATTTGCACATATCAGGAAGTTGAGTTTGAGACCGTGGACCTCAGGTTCAAATACAGATTTCATGGGGAGACACTCAGACCACACCCCACAGCTCCCCACTAAAAGCAAAATAAAACAGGCAATTTAAAGAGGGATTGGCAAAGAGGTTGTTAGTAGAAGAAAGAGGAGGGAGATTTCTGATATCTTTATCAAGACTCTACTCATTTATAACGAACATCTCAGAATTTAGGATTATTGACCGTCTCCTCTGAGTAAAAGCTCATTATCCTCGAGGGTTCGTGCTGTCCAGCTACAACGCTGACTCCCCCACATCCTCCATCCAGCTCTCTTTTTCTGGCTTTCTACCATATGCCTTGGGCCTCCAGGTTTTTCTTGCCACTGGGCCACCTGCCGGGATTCAGCAGCCAGTAAAATCTCCCGGACACACAGTCAGGTCCCTGCAACACTTGCTCTCCTACTACGCTGGGGCCTCGGGGTCCTGGTGAGTGACGCTAAGGATGTGATGGCTCGTTTCCAGCTCCCCTCACTCACCTGTGCAAATGCTCACCACTACCCCCAGCCCCTCTCCAGTCCCCGTTCAGCGCAGTCTCTGCGGCTGGCCTTGCTTCCTGGATCAGCCGGAAGACAAGGCCACGCACAGCCTTCTGCAGGCCCCTCTCTGCATGCAAACCTGACTGTACCCCGAGTCCGTCCTTCCTCGGTTTCTCCAGTCCTTCCTCCTGTTCAGACACCATCTTTCCTCTGACCATGGCCTCTTCCCAAGCTTCTTCAACCTTTTCCTCCATGATTGCTCTTTGCTCTCAGCCTATAATGTGCTCAAGTTCATGCAGCTTAAAAACCCCTGCCTTGACCCCTCGCCCCGCAATGGTCCACGTCATTATTCATCTCAACTTCTCAACTATCGACTCACATCTACACGTTCCTCAAGCCATTATAATTTGGCATTTTACCTCCACGAATCTACTGGAATCGCTATCCCTGAGGCACACAAGGACCTCCAAACCACCCAATCCAAGGTGTACTTTTCAGGCCTTATTGTCCTGGAGCCCTCGCACTTGACTGATCCCTCCCTGGCTGCTTCCTCTGTGTTCTCTGGACAACTGACCTCTGACCTCCCTGACCATTCCTCTCCTGTCTCCTTAGTGGTCCTGCTGCCCTCCCCTTAAGTAAGAAGTTCTGCAGATTTCCTGCCGTGAGCTGCTGCCTTTCCCACACTATTCATGTTCCCCAGGTCACCACGCTTGTTCCGTGCTCTCAATCTCTACCTCGATGCTGCGTACTCCCAAGTCTCTGTCTCCAGCTCTGTTCCTTCAGCCGCCACCTGGATGTCCCCAGTCACCCCAGATGCAACATGTCCCAAATTAAACTTTTCATCTTCCCCTTAAGCCAGCTTTTCTTCGGTCTCTGAGATTTCACGTAAAACCACCACCACGCACCCAAGCTGCAAACCTGGGCACCACTCTACCTTCTCGCTCTCCTTACCAACCTCACCTCCCATTTATCTACAAGTTCAACTCTATCCGTGCCCTTAGCACTTTAAATCCTCTCTTAATGTTGCAGCCCCTTCTGGACTGTGACCTTCTCGAGGGCAGAGACCATGGCTTATTCACTAGCACAGAATCTTCCATACAACGGGCGTTCACTAAACGAATCAACGGCTGGGTCTGCCTGTCAACCAAACGCTGGCAGTTACAGCCTTAACTCGCACACTGACCTGCTCTGCCACGTCTGTATCACCTTCATCTTGAAAACAGAAAAAATCATTCCCTCGTGGGGCTGAGGAAAATACTTGATATTTTGTTTTTAAAATCCCATGCAAAGAATCTGAACACATCACGCTACATTTAAATGCCAATCTAATATGTGCTTTTCCTGAATGCAACGATTTACCAATGTAATGATTGTATATTCTTTTGCTTGTCTTATGAAAAATAAAGAAAATAAGACAAATTTATTCAAATATCTTATTTGGACTCCAAATAGGAAGAAAAATCTATTCCATATGAGAAATGCATTCATATCTGACAAGAGTGTGTTGTTCCCCAGCTCCTCCTACCCCTGCCCGCGTGTGCAGCGCCGAGTGTGGGAAGCTCACACCCCCAGCTTAAATCTACATGTTATGGCTGAATTGTGTCCCTCCAAGCTCCATATGTTGAAATCCTAACCCCTGGTACCTCAGGATGTGACTATATTTGGAGATACGGTCTTTAGAAAGGTAATTGAGTTAAAATGAGGTCATTTGGGTGGGGCCCTAATCCGATGTGACTAGTGTCCTACAAGAAGAGAAAGGAGACAATGTGGAGGCACTCGGTCACCTACAAGCTAAGAAGAGAACGGATCCTTCCCTCACGTCCCTCAGAAGGAAGCCACTGTGCCAACACCTCCATCTTGGACTTCCGGCCTCCAGAACTGTGAGGAAATAAATTTCTGTTGCTTATGGCACCCAGCCTGTGGTGCTTTGTTACTGCAGCCCCTGCAAACTAAGAAATATGTGATGGTTCCACAAATCCTACCAATTAAGTCCAAGCCCCTGTGACACGAAGCCCAAGCTGGATCCTCTCTCCTCTGGCCCATGTGTGTCGTGTGCTTCAGTCCTTATGGACCTGTCCCCGGGGTTCTCTGCACCCGTCCTGCGTGTAACAATGTCTCTCACGCCACGGTGCACCCAGGGGTTTCGCCCAGTCCCACAGTTTCTGTGTCCACCCTCCCTCTCCCTGAACTTACAGGTGCTGCCTTGGCGACCCAGGTACGGCCCCTCCTTCAGTTTTCCCCTTTCTGCTCAGCCCCTTTGAGCGTCTCTGACTTGGAACTTGGTGTGGATCTGGCGCTGGGGTGGCTCCTGGTCACTGTCTGTGGGTCTCTCTGACCTTCACGCTTTGCAGATCATGGGACGGGTGCACCTCGTGCTCAGAATTCCAGCCCGAATTTGAGCCTTTCCCTCCCTGAACTGAATGCCTCTCTGTCCTCTTTACTACTTTTCAAAATTGTACCATGTCCTCCAGGAAGCTTTCCAATTAGATGAGCTCTCTCTCCTCTCTGGATCTGAATCCCCACAATGCTTAGTAGAGGGCTCTTGTGACACTTACGGCAGCCTTGATTTATGTTAACAACTAACTTGTCAGCAGCCTCCTCCCCTGTCAACTAAACTAGAAGTTTTCTTCCTCTTGACATGGCATCTTGCACGTAACAGGAATTCAAAATATGTGGTGAAACAAATGATATCAAATTAGCAGTAATTCTGACCTTATATTTGGTGTTTACTCTTTGCCGCTCTTCTGTAAGGTCTGTTTTGAATTTAAAAGACATTTGATCTTTACCAAGGTGCACTTGCCTAAGGAGAAAAAAACCCAACTTTCAGAACCCATCAGAATACCATCGTCAACTTTAGGATGGAGTGTCTTAGCGATACTCCACCACTGAAAAGGGAGGCTGAGATATCAGAGGAGACACCACGGGGGAGAGACGTCGTAGACACTTCAACAATATAACCAAGATGAACAAAGTGCTCTGCAAAAGGAAGCTTATCTTCTAGTGACATGCGCTAAAATATTTGTGAACAGAAAATCTTGATGCTCAACATCATCAGATATTGGGAAATGCATATCAAAACCACGGTGATGCAGCACTTCACGCCTACTAAGATGGCTACGATGAGGAGGATGATGATACTAATAACAAAGGAAAGTAACAGGTATTGCCAAGGATGTAGAGAAATTGGAACCCTTGCACACTGATGATGGGAGTGTAAAATGGTGCAGCCACCATGGAAAACAGTTTGGCTGCTCCTCAAAAAGTCAAACATAGAGTTACCACGTGACCCAGCAATTCCACTCCTGGGTATACAGCCAAAAGAACCGAAAAGATATGATCACACAAAAACTTGTAATTAAATGTTCATAGCAGAATTAGTTATAATAGCCAAAAGGTGGAAACCACCCAAATGTCTGTCAACTGATGAATGAATAAACAAAACATACTATGTCCACCCAATGGAATGTTATTCCGCCGTAAAAAGGAATGAAGTAGTGACAGATGCTACGATGTGGAAGAGACTTAAAAGCATGTTAAATGAAAGAAGTCAGTTACGAAAGGCCCTATATTGTGTGATTCCATTTATATGAAATGTGTATAGTAGGCAAATCTATAGAGATAGACAGTAGATCAGCGGTTGCCAGAGGCTGGGGGGAAAGGGGACTGAGGAGTGACTGCTTAATGGGCATGGGGTTTCTTTTTGGAGTCATGCAAATGTTCTAGAACTAAGTAGTGATGATGGGTACACAACATTGTGAAAATACTAAAACCTCTGCATTGTACACTTTAAAATGGTTAAAATGATGAATTTTATGTTATGTGAATTTTGTCACAGTTTTAAAAACTCTGGTACGTAATGTGTCTATCATGGAGCCTGGTGCCTGTTCAAAATAAATAGGTAGCTAGGATTTAGAAAGGGGAGGGGGTGTCTGGAGAGCTGGTTCAGATTAAAGGAGACTAAAGACACATGAAAACCAAACACAAATTGTATAATCCTTGATTGGACCCTGGATCCCTCCTCTCCAAAGACAAAAAGCCCAGGTAAAAAGGGCAGTATTGGGACACCTGGGTAAATTTGAACGTGGCTGATTATTTCATATTGTATCAATGTTAAATTTCTTAGAAGTAGTTACGGTAACGCTGGAGCACGTGCTGTTCTAGGGCTACATGCGACAGTCTTTAGGCTTCAAGGTATCGTCAACTTACTTCAAATGGTTCAGGAAAATAAAGGACGTGTGTGCATGTGTGCATCTGTGCATGCGTGCACAAATGTGTGTACACGTAGAGAGTGAGAGGAAGTGCATGTGGCACAAAGTTAACAACTGAGGAAACTACGTCAAGCGTATATGGGTGTTACTTGCAGATTTAAAATCTTTCAACAAAAAGGGAGAAAATATTAAGTGAACAATCCAGCATTCGAAATTGAATTTAGGATGTGATTTCAAGTATGTTACAAAAAAAGCATAGAAGGAAGGAAATATACCAGTGTTGACAGTGATCATTGCACTATAGTGGTTGTTTTCCCCTCTCTATACTTCAAAAAAAAATTAAAATATTTATTTAAAAAATAAAAAAAATATTTTTCAGGTTTTCTACAACGACAACGTGTCCATTTTTTATAACAGGGAAAGAGCATTTTTTAAATGACCTTCAGTTACTTGGCATACTTGAGGCCAGACCCTGAGTAGAGACCCAGACTGTCGCAGAGGGAAACAAAGGGCATGCCCTCGTGCCAGCAGGGTGATAGGGTGGGGGACACCTGGGAAGGCCCTGAGCTCAGGGCGAGTTCTGTTGTCTGGGAAGCGTGGAGGCAGGGGCATGGATGAGGCAGCCTCTCAAGGACCTTTCCCAGGAGTCTCTTTTTTAGCTCAATTCAAGAGTGTTTCAAGTTTACTTTCGCTGAAACTGTACACACGGATACGCCTGGTATGATCTGGTAAAAAAACTGTGAAAAGGGCTCTACTTTGAGTGTAGGAGCCAGGCTCCCCATAAGGCCCTTGGGGCACACAGCACAGGGCACAGGGGGCTCACAGTGGGGTGAGATTTGGGGCACCTGCATCACCCAGCTCTGTCCTGGAGCAAGAGGGGTACTGGCAGCAGTGGACAGCAAGGAGCAGTGTCCCAGCTCCTCCCACAGTTCACTCTGGTTCTGCCACTGTCTGGTCACACTGAGGAAAGAGCATGGTTGGTCACATTGATTTATTCCTAACAGAAACTTCATTCTGAAATACAAGGCCACGCGGAGGGGAGAGAATAGTCAAATTTTCGAAGGGCATTAAAACTCATTACATTTCATTGTGCCTTAGGTATATAACGCCATTACTCAAAACATTGCACTGTCACTTGATACAAATCATTGCTCAACACTTACCACTTAAGGTGATTTTTGATCTCTTCATAAGTGTCCTGTCTGACTTTCTGTTCAAAGAGTGCTTCCTTCATCTGTCTTGTCCTTGAAATCTCATTGCCTTGGTCCAAAACTGAGGGAAGGAGCAAACAATGATTATACCAGTAACCAAAACACAATCGTTGGCCGAGAGAAAAACAATTTCTAACAGCAAAACCTCAGAGCGCCCTGACAGGGTTGTGTGTCGTCCGTAAACAGCACACGTGACAAGCAATAATTCTCTCCTATTCTGCCCAGGGGCTGACTGATGGTGGGCCAGCTGGTTACCTTCTCTCAATTCTTTAATCTTCAATTTTCCTGGTTCTTGGTTTAAAACGGTTGCCACAGCAAATGGATTTGATAAGTCTACTGGAAATCTCAAGTTCTGATATTCAATTTCCTGGGAGCAAATCAGGAGGGAAACTCGTTATTCTGCCTCTCCATCCCTCCCTCCATCCTGCTCAGCACGGAGCCCACCTCACCTTAAGCTTTGGAGGCTTCGTCTGGGCTGGCCGTCGGTGAAAGTTTATACGTGTCATTGCCTTTTCTGGAGGGATGTCTACTTTCTTAGAAAGAGCATTCAGCCTTTCGAATTCTTCTAATCTATAGTTTAAGACAGATATTCAATTAGTATAGAATCCGACAACTCAAGGCTCCTATTTTTGTGTTCTGTCTGATAATGCCATGACTTACAGTCCATTAATTACTACAGCTAAGCTGAGAATCAAGCTGTGTGCTAAAACCGGGTCAATTAAAAGAAACGCAATCTCAGTCCACCAGAGTATAATCATGTACTTCAAAATAGCCCACCAACGGCTCCTTTTCCTTAGATTCTCAAAGAAGAGAACAAGTGGAAAACATGACAGGCTGAAAAATGCTCTCATGGGCTAGCATAATTTACTTCTAGTCTGTCAGTTTTCAATAGCTAAATTTAAGAAAATCTTGAATGTAAGACCTGAAACCATAAAACTTTTAGAGGAAAACATTGGCAATAAGCTCTTTGACATCGGTCTTAGCAGCATCTTTTTGAATACCATGTTTACTCAGGCAAGGGAAACAAAAGAAAAATAAACAAATGGGACTACATCAGACTAAAGCACTTCTGCATTTTAGCAAAGGAAACCATCAACAAAACGAAACAACCCACCACCTGGGAGAAAACATTTGCAAATCATATATCTGATAAGGGGTTAATTTCCAAAATATATAAAGAATTCATACAACTCAACAACAAAAAAAATGAACAACCCGATCAAAAAATTGGCAGAGGAAATGAACAGACATTTTTCCAAAGAAAATATACAGATGGCCAACAGGCACAAGAAACGATGTTCAACATCACTAATTATTAGGGAAATGTAAATCAAAACTACAATGAGATATTACCTCACACCTGTCAGAATGGCTATAATTATCAAGATGAGAAGTAATAGGTGTTGTAGAGAATATGGAGAAAAGGGAACCCTCATACACTGCTGGTGGGAATGCAAACTGGTGCAGCCATTATGGAAAACAGTATGGAGATTTTTCAAAAAGTTAAAAACACAACTACCATATGATCCAGCTATTGTACCTCTGAGTATTTATCCAAAGAACATGAAATCAATAATTCAAAAAGCTATATGCACCCCTACATTCACTGTAGCACTATTCACAACAGCCAAGACATGGAAGCACCCCAAGTGCCCATCAACTGATGAATGGATAAAGAAAATGTGGTATGTATATACAATGGAATACCACTCAGCCATAAAAAAGTCAAAATCATGCCATTTCCAACAATATGGATGGACCTTGAGGGTATTATGTTAAGTGAAATAAACCGCACAGAGTAAGACAAACACTGTATGATTTCACTCATATGTGGAAGATAAACAAACACAAGGACAAGGAGAACAGATTAGTGGTTACCAGAGGGGAAGGGGATGGGAGGGTGGGCGAAAGGGGTAAAAGGGCACATACGTGTGGTGAAGGATGAAAACTAGACTATTGGTGGTGAACACAATGCAGTCTACACAGAAACTGAAATGTAATAATGGACACCTGAAATTACAGTGTTATAAGCTGACATGACTTCAATAAAATAACTGAAAAAATCTTACATTGCTTTATCTTCCTAGTAAAAGAATGATTATGCCCACTGTTTGTAGCAAGATCTTGCAAGAGTGATTCAGACTAATGTTTGAGACTTTTTCTGTAACTGAAAACTGCCTTTGGACAAATGTAGGTACAGACAGTGCTGCTGACATCCCTATAGAAGCTGCTGGAGTTGCTTATCCTGAGATGCAGTAGAACTAAGCTATGTTCCTTAGTGTTACCCACGAAGCATTTCTTTAAGCAGGAATATGTGAAGACTTGTGTTATAGGATTACCTAAGTCCAGGACGTTACAGAAATAAGACAAGGATATGCTCCCATGCATTCGTTCTGACGGCATCAATATGGTCAATATGCGTTTGCTGAGCACCTATTGAACAGGTCCCACTGCCCGACGTGGGTGCTGTGCCAGCAATCCCACATTTAACATGGCCCGTGTAAGAGCGTCCTGAGAGGCCCACGGCCTTTGGGGAGACACACACTGACTGACAGGCTGTGCTGAGCAGGGAGGAGGCGCTTGGTTGGGGAGTGAGCTGCGGCTCAGCATCCGCATCTCAGCAGAGTTCCCACATCCCCTCTGCTGTAAATAGTAGGAAAAGAAAAAGTTTCTGAGGGTGTTAAAAACCAGCTTCCTTAAGAAATCTAACTGCTAGTGCTGATGATGGAAATGAAGGGGTCTGAACAGTGATAAACTAAAGAGTCACAGGTGGAATTTGGCGGTGCCGAATTTAGGATGTGAGAAAGTCCAGCACACACGCTCTTCTGAAATGAGGAAGCAACCTAGGAAACTTTCAGAGAACACTGCGGCCAGGGTAATTTTGTCCTTCTGGTGGAATTTATATGTTCTAGTACTATCTGCAGTCTGGGGAGACACGCCCTTGAGACATAGCCCTTACAAACGACAAGAGGGCACTAAATAAGATGCCAAACTCTAGCTGGAAAACCAAAATACAATAGCTTAGAAATAGCATACGCCTGTGTTTGCATGGTGCTCCTGCCACACAAAGCTCTCCTGTATTTGAGAACACGTCCATGCAAGGACATATAAGCAATAACCCTACTCGAGTGATGTCTCTAAGAAAGCCATTTGCGTATTGCAGCCCATGACATGAGATGGCAAACAGCATTTCGCTCAGCCAGTTATCTGACACCAGAAAAAATAGAGCTGTTTTGTATTTATATCCAATGCTCCCTGTTTACTGCCTGAGTGACTTTATTTCTACTACGGTTACTTGCAGGATGTGGGTTCACCAGGCCACGCTAATATCCTATAGTTGACTTAGGCTGCTGTGAATTTTGAGGAAGAAAATAATGATACAAACGTATAATAACTCATGGAGTTAGTTCATATTTTGATATAAGGTTGTTACTTCACTTTTAATATGCCTAATGATGCTGATATGTGATTTGTATTTGTGTGTGAAGGGAAGAGGAGGAAAATCAAACTGTTTCTTTATCATTTTCAAAACGTTTGTGAGGGTTTTCCAAGATTAGTATTTATACGGTGATAAATTTTCCTTTCAATTTTTATAAAAGTGATGTGTATTAAACAAACATTAACTTGATATATTAGTATATAAAAATAAAAGCTCACATTCAAATGGAAATAGAAGTTCAGAAAAAATTTATTACAAAGTAAAACTTAGTCCCATTTCACATCTTTACCCTGACTTGAAAGCTAACGATGCTTTAAAAAACACTCCCATGGGGCACGTTTCCATTTTCGCCTTATGTCCAGGTCACTTGTTACACATGACTTCATTTGGCCCCTCTGTTGTGAGTATCTTCAGGATATGGACCATTTCCCATGGGGTTTTGCAATGGTCACTGCAAATAGCAGGCACTCAATTATAATGTTCTATTGGAACTTTGAAAATAGTTATGTTGTTCTGGTCTCATGATGTAAATTTTTGAATGGACAGTAATACATATATATGGTCAAACATTCCAACAGCGCACTGAGACTAATCAGAGAAAGAAAGTAGCCCTCAAAGACCGCTTTTTCTCTGTCATCTCCTCCCCTCTTGGCAGAAGCAACTACTGCTACAAGCATAGAGAGAGTCCATGCATCACTATTATATTTTAAGGTGTATTTTATAAAAGTTCACCATCTTAAGTAAGTTGCTGATGGCACTCTGTTACAAGGAAGAAAGACAGAATGGAAGAAAGGAAGACTTGGATTTTTAAAAACGTTTTAAGAATAAACCAAACATTCCAGAGCAGCCATACTTCAGAGCCATGTTGGGACAGCATGTCCCCGTGAAGACACATTCGTAGGGTTGAGAGTTGAACTGTGAAATCCATAAGTGCATTTTCATTTGTGCAGTGCCATACTGAAAGGGTGTAAACTTCACAGTCACGTTCATCCTCCCATTAGCTGGAATTATTCCTGGAAGGAAAGAAATGAGAAAACATGATACTTTCTCTCCTTGCGAAGTCCGGTCAAACAGGCTGACACACACACACAAACACATTCTCCCCATGACAAGCACAAGCATTTCTATTATCTTTGTATAGTCTTTTCATTAAATACACATGAATCAACTTCTGCATGTTTACACTGATCTCATTTACCAATTACTACATTAGTCCTTTATAACAATCATCTGATTGTGTCAGTTACATAAATATACACATATCAATCAGCATTAATGAGTCAGTAATGACTTCCCAGAACTACAATCTTTAAGCTAATTGCCGGATGTCAATGTTAATGCTGTAAGCAGCAAGGAAAACCTAGGAGCACACATAAAAGTTTCTGTGCAAATAATCGAGTTTCCTATATTTTTCTGTAATTTGATTCTCTCCTTTCAAATCTTCAGGATGGACTACCGTTCTCTCCAGTCACATATCCTACCATGCCGTGTCCTTCCTTCGAATCTCTGGTGCCAACGGAGCTTGGAACACAGTTAGTGCTCGAAACTGTGGAAAGGAACAGCAAAGGGAGGAAGGGAGAAAGGGAGGCTCAACGTAGGAGACGCGAGAAGGACTGATGTTCTCTCTGACCTCCACCGAAGGCTCTTTGGTTTGCCTTCTAGATGGTTCCTTCTGCCCCCGTGCATCTGGTCTTTCCACTGTCCCTGCAGAGACCTTGCTCATTCCCTCATAAATGCCCAGCGTCCACTCCCTCCCATCTACACGCTCCTCTGAATTTTGTACTGCTCTCTCCCTGGCTTTCCGTGCTCAGCCACACGGACCTTCCATTCTGCCATCCAGTATTCACTGAGCACTTACGGGGTGCCAGGCACTGTTCCAGGCACTCAAGATACAGCAAGAAACAAAACAAAGTCTCATGGCGTTTACATTCTAGTTGGGGACAGCAAACAAAAACCACCAAACGCAGAATATAAAACATAAAGTCGTGTCATGAATACCAACAAGAAAAATAAAGCAGGTGGGGGGAGATGAGCGCAGTGGTAAGTGCTAATTAAGACAGGATGAAGGGACCTGAAGAAGGAGAGGGGCCTTTGTGCAAATCCTCAGACTTTGGGCTCCTGCTCCCTCAGGGTACTTGCTGTTCAGCCTAGAGAGCCCTTTCTCCAGATCTTTTCGTTTTTTCATCCTGCTCTCTGAAGTTACCTCTTTACCGTCTGCCTTCCCCTGGATTCGAATGTGAGTTTTACAAAAGTAGGTGCCTGCTCATTACTGTGTTCCCAGCTCAAGAGACACTTGCTGAACAGTGAATGAACCCAAACGTCAAAGCCTACGTCACCTGCGCGTTGCAGGAACTCCTCCTGACTCTCATTCACAGGAGTCCCCCTCCCTAAACTCCTGGCAGCCCCACAGTACCCTGTGCTACCCGAATCGCTGCCTCTCAAAGCTTACGAGTCTCCCAAACGGATTACAAGCCCCTAAGGCAGACAGAGCAGACAGGACAGGCCCCAAAGGTCTTTCATCTGCCCGGATCCCTAGCACAGAGGCTCAGAAACAGGTATTTGTCCATTTCTGAGCGCAGATGTCAAAATCTTTACAGGACACTCAGGAGCGACCTGAGAGCCCGCTGCAGGAAGAGCGCATGCGCAGAAGAGCTTATTCTATTGGTCAACCCACCCTCAGCCGCATGGAACTCCAGGATGCACTGAGTTCAATACGTTGACCACCCACCTGGTCAGAAAATTCACCCCTCTGACCGGCAATTCACTGGGGGCTTTAGGCTGAGAACATTCTATTGTTTCTGCTCCAGCTCATTAACTTAAAAAAAATAAGAACAAACTCCGGAGCAAAGATTAATGTTTGCCTTGACCTGGTTGATTTATTTTAAGTGCTCCCAGCCCAGACCTAATACATAAAGCGCACTGGAGTGCACCCCAGGCAACCGGAGCACGCTGCTTTTTCCATTAACAGCGATCAGGTTAACACGACTCTGCTAACGAACATGGTCGCAGCTGATTGTCCAATGTTAACAGCTATAAAAGCTGTGCCAAGCAGTCACCGCTTACTGCCCGGCAAAAACCGATGGTGGGAGGAAGGAGAATACGTGTCACGTCTCAAGAGCGAGAAGGGCACCCCCAGAATTACCACTTTATTTTAGAAAATTCAAACCACGATTTTATGGCTTCAGTGCAGTTTCGCCTGGGATCAATTTCGGATCACTACCCTTAACACACCAGGGATAATGTGAAATCACAGGGCAGGGCGGGTGGGGAGGCAGAGAGAGGGGAGAACAAAACTTAGAAATAAACTGGAAGCTAAGAAAACCCTGGTTTATCCATAAAATGAGTATTATGAAGAAAATGTGACAGCACTTAAAAATGCTATAATGATAAATGAAGTCACCAGAAAATACCACTGTATCTTTGCCTTATCACAGTTATGTAAACCGTGCGTAAATATGGGCAGTTACTAAGAGGAGAAGGAAAGATAAAAGTGCGTTATTTGTTAGAGCAGTAAAGCCCAGGATGGGGATAATTTTTAAAACTTTCTTCTTTCTTATACACCCCTACAGTGTTATTACAATATTGTTATAATTTTTAAATAACTTTTTCTTCAGAAATCTCAGAAAGCACAGATCATTCTCCCTAAATTGTCACAGAGCCATTTAACCTACGTGCTTGAAGTTTTAGTAAGGATGGGTCTTCATCTCCCAAGATGTAGGGTTGCACCAGCTGGGTGAATTGGGGTAAACTTCTTAATCGCTCTAAGCCTCAGTTGGGAATTTGATAGCTACATGGTTTAAAAATTGTCCACGAACAAGCTGTTGACAAACTAACAGTGTTTTTGATTCACTGGATGACAGAAGGGAGGGCTTCAGGGCTTTCCATTCTGACTCACTACCGAGAGTCACATGTCACCCACCAGGACAATTGCAGGCCACCGCTGCTGCCCAGGGTCTGTGGGCAAGGAAAGGCCTCAGAGACCACACAGACCCTGACTCACATACTTGTCTGTCCTCGCTTGAGCTTGGTGACTTGGTTTGGTCACTTTACCTGAGGCTCAGTTTTCTCATCTGTAAGATGGGACAAGGCTTAAAGGAGAAAATGTACAGGGTCTGGGATAATTCTTGGCACACAGTATGTGTCCTATAAATGTGTCCTTCCCAATGATTCTGCCAAATAAAACAAGTAATAAGTTATTGTGTATTAAGCTATCATTAGAAATGTCAGGAAGAGGAGGCTGGGCCGGTGGTGTAGTGGTTAAGTCCGTGCGTTCAGCTTCAGTGGCTCAAGGTTCCCAGGTTCTGGTCCTGGACACGGACCTAGCACCGCTTGTCAAACCGTGCTATGGCGGCATCCCACGTAAAATAGAGGAAGATTAGCACAGATGTTAGCTCAGTGACAATCTTCCTCACACATGCGTGCGTGCACACACACACACACACACACACACGTCAGGAAAAGGAAATACTTGTTGGAAAAACTTTATACTTGAGACATTTGAGTTCTTAATACATTTCCGGGGCCAGCCGGGCAGCCCAGCAGTTAAGTTTGCACGCTCTGCTTCAGTGGCCTGGAGTTCACCGTTTCAGATCCCGGGTGCGGACCTACACACCTCTTGTCAAGCCATGCTGTGGCAGGCATCCCACATATAAAGTAGAGGAAGATGGGCATGGATGTTAGCTGAGGGCCAGTCTTCCTCAGCAAAAAGAGGAGGATTGGTGACAGATGTTAGCTTAGGGCTAATCTTCCTCAAAAAAAAAATTAATACATTTTGAAAGAGGAAAGGAACATAAGAAAAATCAGGTGAAGAACACACATCACAAGAGGATGACCTCAGAATGCAGGTGGTCACCAGAGTCCTAAAGAGATTACAGACAGCATGATTTGTCACAAGAGGAGTCACCAGAATTCAAGGAAGCACTATTAGAACACACTAGAAGGAGATGAAAAGAATGTTGGTGGAGCTCAGGAAACAAATGAAAAAAAGCAAAGGAACTGTCAGTGAGGTAGAAACTGCATGGGAAGGCACACACACACAAACACACACGTGCACACATGCAGGTGCTGAACACAGAGACGTGGCAGCTAGGAATGAGGAATCCAGACAACATGAAATTATTTTAAAGAAGATAACAGATACTGAGGGCAAAGGATAACCAACATACACACATAACAGATATTCCTGAGGAAGAGAAAAGAGCAAGTAGAAGATTAAAATATTCAAAGTTTTAATAGTTGAAAGATGTCCTAAACGAATGAAAGCTGTTTTTCTCCAGATTGAAAGGACATCGCATGTTCCAGGGGGGAAAAAAAACGACACAGAGCAACACCAATATATATCCTGGTAAATTACTTAACCTCAAGACTGGGGGAAAAAAAGAATTCTAAGGGCATCCAGAATTTACTAGGATGGGGTAAGATTCAGACCAGCCTCTGGATTCCTAGCAAATTCAAAGGAGAGGGCAAGCAAGCAATGTCTACAAAGTTCTGAGGTGAACAAAGTTGCAAAGCAAGACTTTTATATCCAGTCAAGTTGTCCTTGATGATCACAGACAGCAGAGAGACGATCTCAAACACACACTCTAGGTGTGCAGCCCCCGGGAACCTGTGGTTAACAAGCCACCAGATGACAAAATCCAGACGACCAGAAAAAGAGCTGAGATAAAGAGCTTGGGCATGGAGAAAACATGGAACCAAGAACAGAGGGGAAGACCCTAGTTCCACTTAAACAGAAACTAAGTAACTGCGGCATTTACAGCGACAAAACAGAACGTCAATGCTATAGATCCAGATAAGATACTATAACACAACTGGGAGTTGTAAGGAGAGAAAGCGCACATGTGGCTACTCCTTCTTTCTTCCACAGCCAACATTCCAGCTGAAGTGGAAGCACGCAGTTGAAGAAGGCAGGGGCTCTGACCTCTTAAATGTTTTCAGAATCTCTTTTCTTAATTTTAGTAGTAAATCTTAGAAATGAATATTACTATCAAGGAAGTCCGTCAATTCCTTCAGC